CTCTATACTCTATCTTTTAAGTAAAGCTTTTAACTCTGCTGCTCGTCTAGTTGCTCGTGCCCCTTTCTTTTCTCATATATCTCCATATCTTGTTCTCTTGCACTGGCTACCTATAAAATATAGAATAATTTTTAAAATTTGCACATTCATGTATAAGTCTCAATCTAAATTATTTCCTAAGTACTTATCAGATATATTAATTGAACCTAAACGCCCCGGTTTACGATCGTCTTCTTCTTCTCGCTTTTTCTTAACTCGTGTTAAACACTCTTTTGCCAAATCTGCTTTTGCTTTTTCTGGTCCTTTTCTCTGGAACTCTCTACCTACTTCTCTAACTATTTCTCCATCACTTGCGAAGTTCAGAGCGGATCTCAAGACCCATCTGTTTTCAAAATTCATTGAGGAGCGCTGTTGAACATCGCGGAAATAGCGCTTTATAAGCTAATTGATTGATTGATTGATTGATTGATTGAATGTTTGTTGGCGCTCCAAGAAAACCTCGCAAATATTTTTTTTAATATATTTTTAAAATTTTCTTTTAATTTTTTCATAATTCAATATATATAAGCACACGTATAACCAGCAGCATCATTTAGAAAGTTTAAATTTTTGAAATACCAAATTTAAAAACGTTTGCATTAGTTAATGATTAATTAAATCGCAAACTTATAAGAATAAAAAAATTCATGTCGGTCTGTAAGTTTTGCATTGCATACGTATAGATATGAACAAACAGAGTTTAGGCTACGAACAAAAAAGAGCATCACCAAAATAGAAACTAATAATTCAAACAAATAGCCGAATAAGAATAATTTAAGAGTAAAAATAAACAGACATAGCTACACATATTCAAGTTTAAAATAATGATACAGTCCACCAAGCAGACCACAATATAAATAATCAGTTCAATTGTATTATTATTTAAAAAGGCAAAGATTTATGATATATGTAACGCGCGCACGTAAATACACATACACACACATAAACACACCACACAGACATATACACACATACACTATTCATAAATATACTTCTATACAAGCTAGATAACATACAGAAATATGAAACACAATTGTAACAGCAAAACATTAATCAACGTATTTAACAGCAACAACAAGAACTATTTAAAAATTAATTTTACAAAATTAAAAGCAAGGTGATATTGTAGATTAATGAAAAAACGAACAAAGGCCTATACATCTGTGTACATAAGTGTGCGCGTGTGTGTTAGAGTTTTATCATTGTTGAAAATAATATTTCATTGAGTGATATAATAAACACATTATAAGTGATAAAGTTTTTGAAAAAATTTTAAAAATTAGTTTAGAAAAAATTAATGTTTGACTGCTGAAAGTTATAATCAAAAAATAAATTGATAACAATATAAGAATTTAAACAATTTAAATTAAGCATATGTAATATAAGGACAGATGAAATTGAAAATAAATTTTATACAAAGCTAGATACGAAAAAACCCAAGGCTACCTATAAACAACAAAATTTTATATAAAAAAAAACCTGAAAAAAATCGACAGCATTAAAAAATAAAATTATTAAATCAACATAAAAACAAATCAAAAAACAGTGTGGAAAAAAAAGCTTAAACAATTTGCAACTTTTTGACTTTAATAAAATTCCTAGCCACCTCGTCGTAATTACTGATACTGAAATATTCGGCGACGTTTCTAAAGAACCCTCTGTTGAAAGGGTTCATTAATCTACCCCTTGAATCGATCAAGTAGGAGTACCGCGCCCAGTTTGCCCGCTCGTTCGTCGTCATTCCACTCGTCAGATTAATAATCTTTGAGGGAAAAAGATAGATGAATTAATTATCTACGACTAGTATCTTCAGTGAAAATGATATATGGACTAATTATCTGTGGGTAGTTACAGTCAAACAGTATTTAGATATCGATGAATGAATGAATGAATGAATGAGGGATGAACGAATGAATGAATTAATGAATGAGGGAATGAACGAATGAATGAATGAATGAATAAATGAATGAATGAATGAATGAATGAATGAATGAATGAATGAATGAATGAATGAATGAATGAATGAATGAATGAATGAATGAATGAATGAATGAATGAATGAATGAATGAATGAATGAATGAATGAATGAATGAATGAATGAATGAATGAATGAATGAATGAATGAATGAATGAATGAATGAATGAATGAATGAATGAATGAATGAATGAATGAATGAATGAATGAATGAATGAATGAATGAATGAATGAATGAATGAATGAATGAATGAATGAATGAATGAATGAATGAATGAATGAATGAATGAATGAATGAATGAATGAATGAATGAATGAATGAATGAATGAATGAATGAATGAATGAATGAATGAATGAATGAATGAATGAATGAATGAATGAATGAATGAATGAATGAATGAATGAATGAATGAATGAATGAATGAATGAATGAATGAATGAATGAATGAATGGTCTTCAGTAGTGAGACATATATAGACACACAAACACACAGACGAGAACAGAGACAACTTTACTAACGGTGCAGACGAAGGCCAACGCCGAGACAGACGTAAGTAAGGTTAGCATGAATGTCCCAAACCAGATGAAATAATCAGCATGTCCAATTAAGAAGAGGTAACCGCAGAAAGTCAGTGATACGAAGCCGAGCAACAATGTTGTTAGTGTGAAGAAGAAAAACCAAGCCCTGTTTGTATTCGGTTGATTTTTTTTTATTGGTTCAAAAAATGATTCAAAACTTTTTAATTTCTCAATCAATTTTGAAAAAGTAATAAATTAGTAAAAGATATTATTATAAATTGGAGAACTGTTACAGGCAAAAAATGATTCCATACATTTAACCTTATTAAGATCGTACAAAACGGTAAAATAAAAAGTCGAAGACCGTTTAGAACTTCATCCAAAAAAGTGTGTGTGTGTGTATGTAATTTGTAAGTGTGGTTTGTGAATATATGTGTAATTTGTTTATTTAAAATACTAAAATTTTAATTAACCGTCATTTGAATGAATTCAAATAAAAGCAACTACTGTGTTTTTCTTTCTTTACTAAAATCTCGAAATTGTTTGTAGATCTGTACGGTTAACTGTTTGTTCGAGTTTGAACAGGCCTTGCAAATTTTTTTTATTTTTTTTGTTTTTATTTTTGTTTATTTGGTTCATTCAATTTAGTTGATTGATTGATCGGTTGATTGATCGGTTGGTTGATTGATTGACTGACAGACTGGCTGGCTAGCTGACCGACCGACCGACTGACTGATTGTTTAATTGATTTATCTCATAGTATTGTATACATGAGAAAAAATCCGATTAAGCCAACCTACGGCTTCAGTAAGCCACTGTTTTTCACCTGCAATTTCACTTTCACTTTCAAAGCAATTTCTATATTTATACTGACAAAAATAATTGTGATATGAATATATTGATTTATTTAAAGCATTATATGTACAAAAAAGTGCTATCGTAAGAGTTCTATGAGACCCTGTAAGCCACAGCTGTAAGCCAACGTATGATTTCAGCAGCCAGTTACATATGAGCACCAGCAGAATGTAAAATATTCATTGAATATAATGAAGATAGTTGTTCAAATAACAATTTTGACTTATTTAGGCCGTTTATTTCATAAGCAAACCAATTTTTAACATGATCGAATAGTGTAAAAAAAGGGTGACTATAGTTCAAGCCTACTAAGCCAACTTTCGGCTTCAGTAAGCCACCGGATTTCACCGGACCAAAAGCAATTTTTATATTCAAATTAACAAAAATAATTTAATAATACATAACTCTATTAATCATTATTAAAATTAAATAGAATTACTACAATGTTTTAAGCATATTAAATCAAGTAAATATTTCATATAGCTTACTCGTTAAAATCCATGAAATTTCGTAAGCCAACAATCCAAGCACGACAAATAGCCCGACCGATAGATCGAATTGATCGACTAGTCCTATTATTCTAGTTATGTGGTTTGGAGCAAGGGGAGACATTACTGAAAATAATTAAAAGTTGAAAAAATTGAGGTTCTTTGCATATCCCTACTTCAACCCATAAGGTGTTGTATGCTGAAAAATAGGCCTCCCCTTGAGTCAAACAGCCCGATTCGACAGCGAAAAATATAAATTATATTTCTTTGCCTTTATTTTTTCTTTGTTGTTTTCATAATTATCGCTTTAATGTGTGTAATTTCAATGACAATTTAAGACAAAGTTGTCGATAATTTTACCTCAAATCTGACTATGTTATTAGTTTATTATAAAATCATCCATTTTGTAATTTTTTAATAATCAAATTCTACATTCATTCATTTTACATTTTATTTATTTCTTTTTATTATTATCCACTGAAATGACGGCTCCGAACAAACAGCAGCGAGAAAAATGTTGGCACGCTCGGGATGATTATTGGAAATGTTTGGATGAAAATAACGAAGACGTGCAACCGTGCCTACAATTTAAAAAAATCTTTGAACAAAGTTGCAGCAATCAGTGGGTTAGTTTAGTTAGCTTCTTTAGTTATTAGTGAAAGTATCATTGATAAGTTAATTATGAGCAACTAGTAACTATTTAAAATGTGCTTAAAATTGCCCTGAGTTTATCTATATATTAATCAGAGCAATAAATCAATCAATTAGTTTGTAAAATGCTATTTCCGAGATGTTCGTCAGCACTCCTCTATGAATTTTGCAAACAGATGGATTTTGAGATCTGCTCTGAACTTTGTAAGTGATGGAGAAGTAGTCAAAGAAGGAGATAGAGAGTTCCAGAGAGAAAGGGCCAGAAAAATCAAATGCAGATTTAGCAAAAGTGTTTAATATATAATAGTATCCTATTTATTAAATTAAAAGTAATAGTAATCAAGCAATAGCATCGTTGTTCAATTCAAGATGCACTGTGATTTAGCTAAAATTGTCAATTAACAATCTCATTGAATTATAGAATACTAATATTCTTATTAACAAAGCAAATGATTTAAAAGTGGACTCATTTAAAATTTTATTCATCCAACAGACAACATATTTCAACAGACGGAGAAATTACTTAAAGTTTCAAGATAAAATGCTAAAAGAAGGGTTTGAGCCAATAAATGAAAGCAAAGAAAACACATGACCAGTTTTCTAAATAATGTAATTAATATAAATAATAATAATGTTGAATATAAATGTCTAAAATGTTTTTTGCCTTTGAAATTGAATAAAAATCATGCCATATAGCTATCCTAATCCAAAAATAAGCATCTGAAAAAAAAATTACCTTTATTCAGTAGACACACTTATACCTATTCAGACATACAAACAAATACACTCAAGTAGATAAATGCAGGCACAAATTCTGCAATTCACAGAGATAAATTAATTACTCGTATACCAGAACTATGGTCACACCATTTCATTCAAATTTCTTAAATACATAACATAATATAAATAAAAGTTATAATAAGTAATATTACTATAATTAGTACGAAACATAATTAAAAATTAATTATGATCCATGCAATCATCGTCGTCGTCGTCATCATCATCATCCGATGTGAAATCTGGGTCATAAGCTTGTGAGACGCATAATGGGCAGTTGCATATGAATAAGTAATTCTCCCTGTGTGTATGTATGTTTATTTGTTTGTATGTATATATGTGTGTGTCTATTCATATTGGTGTGTGTATGTATGAATATATATTTGTATGTGTTCACCAATATGTTTGAGTATGTTGTATGCGTTTGCCACGTTCTTACTTAATAAAATTAAATAATTACATTAAAAATTAAATAACAACAACAATGATATATATTAATAATTACAAATGATATAATGACACTGATAATAAAATAATTAATAATGGTAATAATAAATAATAACACTGATAATATAATAATTAATAATAATAATAATTACCTGAGTAATCTGTGTCTCGAGTGCCTACTCCTTGTCCTGTCGCATTCGTCAAGGTATGAGATGAAAATCTCCTATCGTTGGAAACATCCACAAACATTTATCGGTTGATAAAATTAAAAATAATTATTCTCGTAATATAATAATGAAAATAATATCAAGAAAATGCAATTCACTGATTGTGGCACAGGTAAGAAGTAATAGTGCGAGAAATTATTTTGAATAATATGGACAATTAAATGAAGACAAGAATGTGAATTATAAACAAATTAACCATAATTATAAATAAATTATGGTAAATAATTTGAAAAAACAATGCAAGATGAGCATAATTAAATATAGAATCCAAATTTGGAAAGACACCGCCTACCTGATCGGGTTCAATGTCCTTCACAGCCTTCAATGAGAGGATGTGATTGTTGTGTGGGAAGGTTACTTGAGCATTTGGTACGCAGCTGTGATTGCCTGTGGCCGAATTTCAGAAAAAATGGCAATGAATAAAAGTATTTGTCATTTATATTTATTCATTTTATATCAGGTAATTAATTTATTCACACCTGTAGTTATTTAGAATTTTCTATTATGCTGATTATATAAACGTTTATTAGTACATATGGTTTGTCACAAATTGACAAAAGCTTAATATGCCTCTATTCTAGGAGATAAGATGAGAAATAATTTTGACAAAATGAAAAAATTTAGATTAAAACTGACCAGTCAACTGTATTAGTTGACTAAAACTAAATACACACAAGCTGACACACACGCACACACACACACGCACACAACAAAACTTACATGCACTTTGCAGAAGGTAGAGCCCGGAACCTTCACAGTCTAAAAACTCAGGACCTGCAACTAATGTCAAAAATTCAATTTTTTATAAAACCTCATGTTTGAAAGTTTAAATGGAAAAATATTTTTAACAAATTATTTTAGCCAAAAGGTTTAGCTACTAACATCTTAACTATTATTCTTATAAGAATAACTAATTAATTCATTCATTCATTTAATAAATTGATACTATTTTTCGTAAATAGATAGCTAATTACTATTGTTAAGATCATCATATAGCTCATCGATCAGATCAGAAAGTTCCTTATGTAGATTTTCATCGGCAATCTTCTTCTCACAATTTGTGGCCCAGACACTGAAGGAACTGGAAAATAAATTTAAATTTTTCTCAAAAAACATCAAATTATTTTAAAAATTCTCCTTCTAGTATCTCTAGTATTATTGATTATGTAAACGTAACAACAAACAAACACACACACAAACACACACACAAAAACAAACACACACACATTCACACAAAACGTATACATACACACAAATACAAAGACATACCTTGTGCCAATACCCTGACCATTTGTCCCTATTAGGGCCAGCAATGATTTAAAACCATCTGGCTCAAACCACTGGGAAAGAACATAATAGCAACAAAAAAAATAAAAATAATATTATTATTATTTAACATTTATTACAACAATCACAATAAAAATATGAATGAAATTTTAAAGAATTATGACAATATAGGGTCATAAAATGCTGATAGCAATAACAATATTTGTCATAATTATTACTTTTATTATTAACTAAAATATCAATAATAATAATTATATTATTAATATTATTATTAAAATAATTTCATCTGGCAACCTCTTTTATAGACTCTTCGTAGAAACTTTCTTTCAAAATTTCTCTTAGTACCTCAATCTGATGCTAAGAATGGGTAGAATTTTTATGTTTCAATTATGAAAACATGCAGGCACATACACACACACGCACACATACATACATATAAATACATATAATATACATGCGCACATATACAATTACATATTCATACATATATACATCCTTCCACACATAAATACACCAAACTAACTTGAAACTGATTTCCTAACAGTTTGTGGATGATGTTGTTTTCATCGTTAGTCAATGACCGACAAAAAGTCGAGAGCTTGTCAACAAATTCCTTCCTTTCAAGAGGGTCTGATTTCTGAATTTATTTTATTTTTTAGAAATTAATATATATTTAATCTTTATAATTATATTTAAATCATTTCCATAAAACAACCTGTTTAACAGTAGCAATGAGTCTTGCTGCTAGCATGATGTTGAATGTCTCCGGTGGGTAGTGCATGGTTCTAAAAGGAATGGTTTTTTAAAATTACAAATTCTTTTTTTCTATAAAAACTGACAAAATTATATAAAATATAAAAAATTCTTTTATATAAAACTAATTAACAAATCTTAAATCTGGAATTAATTCAATAAAACTTTTAAAAAACCTTAAAAAAATTAGATAGTTTTTCATTAAAAGAAACAAAATTCCCACATTTTCAATGAGATAAAAAAAAACAATTTTTAAGGAGGAACATAACGGTACAACAAATGCAAACAGTCCTAACTTCCATGTTTCTATTAAATGACTTGTCGGGTGGTCTTTCCCGTCTTTGCCAGTGCACAGTACTTTGTGATGGAGTGCCGTGGCCTCCTCATAACATTCTCTGCAGCAGTACGGAGCCTAGAGTTGACATTTAATGTTACTTATGAGTATTATTATTCGTTGTTATTATATAGTCAATCAATCAATCTTCATTTTGCGTCCAGAGACCCGGTTTCCCGAGGTAGGACGTATTATTAACATTCAAATTATTATCGATCCAAAGTCAAGTTTTGGAAAATAATTACTCTTTACTAATAGATTGAGATAGATTAAAGGAGAAAATTATACATGAAGTATGAACGATAATAACACCAAATGAATAAGTTTTAAAATCAAGAAAAAAAATACAACATTGCCATTAATTAAACAAGCACCACATAGTTTGATGGTATAAATTTGAATATTGTGTAAATTGTAAGGTAAATGTTATATAAAAGGGTAAAAAAGTAAAGTAAAGTATAGCAAACGATAAAAAACAACAACCCACCCCACAATCTGGACAGCAAACATGTCTGTCAGGTGTAACTTCACACAGGTTTGATTTCGGGAGTGTGAAATGGGGTTTGTTGGTCAACCTTCTGTACATCTGCTCAGCTGTTTCCATGGACCTCAGGCATTGCTGGCAGGCCTTGTACTTGCAGGTCTCATTCCAGGCAAACTGTACGCTCACCATCGGTGACTCTAGAAAAATTTCTTCCCCGGCTTTTATGAAACGTCTGCTGAACATACCCCGACCCTATTAGTTGCAGTTAAAATTAACATATGAATAGAGATCAATAAATTAACATATTCAAATATTTATAAAATTATGTATGATGTGCATATGCATCATATCATATGATATGATCTATAAAAATCTGTGTACTAATAAATTAAAAGTTAAATTAAATATGATCAGTTTTTAAGATTATTAAGTGAGAACTAAGTTAAGGGTATGGGTATGGCCGACTGGATATTTAATAATGAAGAACGATAATGAAGAAGAGAAAAAATTTAAACGTAAGAAACGTAAGAGCGTTTCAAATAAACTTCCTTTAAATTAAAACAAATCCCACCAACACTCAAACCTTTTTAGCTTGAGTAATCCTGATCTCGTAACAAGGCTCCATTTTACTGCGAAAATGACAAATTTAAACCTAAAAGACGAGAAATCACATACAAGCAACAACAAAAATAGCAGATACAACGACATAAAAATTTCTGCTTAATCTTATTTTCGTGATTTGATATTTCTACATTGAACAAAAGTATCCATATATCTCAATTATATCCATGGATGTAGATATATATATATATATATATCTATATTATATATATCCTTAATTGTTTCCTATCTATTTATCTTATCCATGCAAAAGTATCCATTTATCTAAATTGTATCCATGGATATACATATATCTATATTATGTATATCCATGATTGTATCCTATCTATATATCTTAATTAATATGTATATGATAGTGTATCTTTCATATATACGAATCCCAGATATCTAAATTGTGTCTGTGTGTGTGTTTGTGTGTGTAAGTGTGTGTACTTACATGTTAGTATTTTGTACTTGTACCTATAACTCGAATATTTTAATGATTTAAATGTGAAATCTCGATCTTTGCAGTAACCCATGACTTTAATTATTATTTTCACCTTTGTTTCTTTATATTTTTTGTTGAAAAAAATTAGAAAATAAAATAGATGTATTATGTATTGGAAGGCATGTACAACACTTAGCATAACGTAACATAGCACAACATGACATAACGCAACATGAAGAAATTACAACAAATCTGTTTGTTTTTTTAAATATTTTTTAGAAAAAAAAACTAAATAAAATAAATAGATCATGTACTGTATTGAAAGGGGGTTACAACAGTTACATGATGTTCATTGAAACGATAGCAAATATTATTAATACATCCCATGCCAGTCGAAATGGCCGTCATCCTTGTGATGAAGGAGGGTGTGGACATTCCTGAACATCGATCTATAAAACGAATACTCCGGTACTTCGGTAAATGATAATCTTTTACATAATTTCAAATAATTGGAAAATTCGCAGGGCTTCAGTCTGGCAAGTTTCACAAAATCAATATTCTCCTTCATTTTACCGATCGTCTTGTGCAACTGCTGCCAGTCCTCATCCTCAAAACCGCTCCAAGGAAGTTTCCCGAACAGGAAATAGAACAATATGTACCCCAGAGATTCCATGTCGTCACGTCGACTTAGTTGCTTGAAGTGGTGAGCGTTTACGCTAGCGTAATCAAGCGTGCCGACAAAGTTTTGATCAACCAAGTATGGTATGTGCTCTTTAGTGTAAGGATGTTTGTATTCTTCAGCAAATCCAAAGTCTATTAGGTATAATTTGCTGATGTCACTTCTAGGGCTCATAACTATATTTTCCGGTTTCAAATCTCTGTGTATTATGTTGTGATTGTGGATGAATTCGAGAGCGTTTATCATCTGTTCAGCTATTATAAGAACTGTCTTTGTTGTGAATGTTCTTCTGCTCGCACCGAAAATTAATTCCAAATTGTGGCCTAATAACTCCATGACCAGCACGTTGCAGGTCAAAAAGTTTTGGTAAAACCCAAAAACACGGGGAATCGCGGGACCGCCCTGAAGCCTTCTGTACGCTTGTGCTTCGCGAAACAAAAGTTTCGGGTCTATAGATGCATCCGTTATGGCGTTTTCAAGTTTTGCAGCAACTGGTTGACCGGTCACCTGATTGACTCCACGACAAACTATCCCAAACGATCCGTAGTCGATTTTAGTTAACAGTTTGAACTGCTGTTCACCATCTCTAATTACGAAATGACCATTCTCGATAATATAAGCGAGGTCCTCCTTTACGCTATTCATTTTTGCGTAGGTATAAATTTTATTTTTGATGTTGCCAAAAAACTGCTGAATTGTATTTCCGCTAGACGCAGCGTAGCGAACAATTTCAGATTTGGTGAATTTGCTGTAAAGTTGCGTTGGCCGGCTGTCGCTGTTGATGATGTTGACAGCGTTCTTCTCGTACTTTACTTCGACGAACTTGCTGACATTTCGTTTGATGTTTTTGCGGCTGAGTGATGGGGGCAGACAGTTTTGGCAGTCGGCGGGCTCTCTCCCCTCCCCGCGCCACCTTCCGAGAAGCCTGTTGATTGTGCGACCGATGTTGCGGGGGTTGAATGACGGTGGGAGGCAGCTGTTAAAAGCCCTTTCCTCCTCCTCTTCCTTCTGTTGCCCCCTATCGACTCCGCGTCCTGCATTGTGGGAGTTGAATCCTGGAGGTAGAAAGGTGGGATAATCACATTCCGCTTCATCCTCGTCCGACTCGTCCGACAGTTCGCTGGTCCTAATCCTTTGTCTGGTGTTGTCGCTATTTGCTAATAGAGGCAACCTGAGGGTATGGTAATCGTGCTGAATCTCATCCCACAAGTCCGCAGAGACTGCTGCTTTTTCACTTGATATGAGTCTAGTTTCAATCATATTGAAAATATTTTTAAAACTTATTGAAAAAATATTTTGCTTTTTTGAATTGAGAAGTTCAGAGAATAAAATTCGTATGTTTCCGTGAAATTTCTGCCGACTTATATAGGAGAAGTTATGAATTTGATTAGAAATAATAACCGCGTATGAAAGTGCAAAGTTAACCATTAGAATTTTCAAGCTGATTAAGAAAATTATTTTTTGCTTCATATTAGCAATCCGTTTGATCAAAAGGTCAAACTCATAGGTCAGATGATTAATTAATTCCTTGATGAAGGTTATTAAAATTTTAAGACGCACGCGCATTCACGTGAATGTTTTGCTACTGAAATTTTGGAATTTAGATTTCGTTTCTGAAAGAAATTAAAGATTCGTTGCAAAGCAACCACAGCAACAACAACAACGATAATAATAATTATTATTATTACAATACAAAGATAACCATTATGAATAAAATTGGTGTCAACATACAAATTTAGGATACTCTTTGTATTCGCGTCATCTTCGTTTGTATTATTATTGTCCAATTTATCATCGTTATCCGCAACAACAACAGCATCCATTATCATAAGCACTCATCATCATCGTTATCATAACTTATCACCACCACCACCATCGTCGTCGTTGTGGTCGTCGCGTTCATAACCACAGGACGCTCAAGTTCGTAATTGATTTATCGACCAGCATCTAGAGCGAAAGAGAACATCATCCTACTTAATTTTTTTCCCATTTTCTTTCATCTAAATCTGTTTTTCCGTATAGAATGCATAAAAAATATTGTTGAAAATTCATTTTTTTGAGGAATTATTATACATAAACTTTTCATGTTAATTAATGAATGAATTAATTAACTAAATGATTAATTAGTTAACTAGATTAAAACATATTTATTTATTGTAAATGAACTGATGAATGAATCTTATGCCGTTTAGTTCTAAATTAAATAAATGAAAAGATTTTTTAGTTGCCGAACGATGAATTAGTTAGAAATATTATTAAAATGTATTATTAAATAAATATTATTAAATGTTAAATGAGGTTCAAAACCATTTTTTTCAAAAGCGAGAATTAGAAAAAAGAACAAAACAAAACAAGAGATTTTTAAACTTAAAAAAATATGTGAAAACAAACATGTTGATTAATCGATAGCCATTCTTTTACCTGAGATGCGTTTGTGTATGTATGTTTGTATTCATGTACGTATGTATGTTTGTATGCATGTACGTATGTATGTATGTATGTATGTATGTATGTATGTATGTATGTATGTATGTATGTATGTATGTATGTATGTATGTATGTATGTATGTATGTATGTTTGTATGTGTGTATGTTTAGACGTGTCCTACCATCCATCATCATTCAATGCTGATCATTATGGTCCCATGAATGCTCTTATTCCCATATTTGATGAAAAAAAAAAAAAAAACTCTCAATGACATATTTGTTTTTCGTTTTCTGAATAATTTTTTCTTTTTTTTCTGCCACATATATATATAAATATATTTGTTTTGCCATATATATGTATGTTTTAAAGTGAAAAATATTTTTCTATGTCATAGCCGCGAGTATATCACTTCTTAATTAATCAAATTTGAAGTACCATTCAATCATTTTTTTTTTGTTATTTTATTTTTTAAGATAATGATTTGTTTGTTTAATTTTTAAGGAAAGGATAAATTTTTATTTAGCCGTGATGACTAGTGTTGGAGCGGCTTTAATGTTGTTCATGGCATATATTTCAAGATATGCTTTTAGTCAAGGTTTGAACATCTGTGTATAAATCAAATTAAGTACGATAAATGAAATACACACAAATGAACACAATACAATAAATACAAACATATCAACACAATACAATACAAAACAATACAATACAATTCAACACATTACAATACATTACAATACAATAAAGTACACTGCATTACAATACAATACAATACAATAAAGTACAATATAATACATTAGAGTACAGTACAATACAATACATTACAATATATTACAATACAAGTATTTCTTAATGGAATAGTAACACGCATACGCATCTCCAATTAAGTTGCCTATGATGGTAAGGGATTTTTGTGTTCGAGCTATCTTTGCGAAGAAGACATGTGTGTCAAATTCGATCCTACTACTTTGGAAGGAAGACATGAACGAATAATTAAATAAATAATAAGTGATGATGAAATATCTATTACTCAGAACAATATCCACTAACAATACTTAAAAAAAACTAAGATACTAAATAACAACCATAATTGAAATAATTACAACAATTATAATTCTTCTTTAAATTCTTCATCTTTCTTTCCCGTGCCTTATCCCTTCAGGACATTGGCGACCATCGACCTCCACAAAGCCCGATCTTTAACACTTTGTATTAGTTAAAATGTTTAAAAATAACTCAACTGTTTTAATGAAATCATAAAACTAATTAACGACAACAGAGTCACAGCTGTTTTGGACCCTCTTCCACGACTACCACCCCATGGTGCGGCCCGTCAGGGACATGCGTGCCCCCGTTAACGTCACCATCGATTACGAACTCTACTGCGTGGCATCCATTGTGAGTTTAGGTCCCTCTGGTGTCCTTGGCTCATTTTTTAACTAAATTATTTTATTGGTGATAGTTTTTACTCTCTATGCTTTTCATAGGAACGTTTTTATAAATCTGCATTTTTTGCATCTATTTTCTGGCATATGGTAGTACAACTAGCAGCTAAGTATAATTTAGTACCCATACTCTAGAGTCATTCGTAGTATATTGTTAAGTTTTTTTTTCTCGTTATTTTTTTCACCGAAGGAAGAGAGAGTCAGAAAGATGACGTCAGTTGGAACCATCAAACTGGTCAGTTGGGTATTTGATATTTGTAACAACATTTTAAAAATTAAGGACATGCATAACAGTCCTACACACATTTCAGCAATTAATATTAGCACACCGCGTTTACAAAAATTGCTTCATTGAAACTATATATAAACAAATTTTTAAATTACATAAGGCGATGATAAGAACAAGCTTAAGTGTACATATATAAAATATAGTTGACATTAACTAAAAATTTTTAAAAACTCAACCATGAAATTTATTTAAGAAAAATTATTTTAAAATCGTTAGAGATGGATTGATGAGTATTTGAAATGGAACGAGAGTGAGCACGGTAACATCAAATCCATCGTCACGAGGGCCTCACAAATCTGGACGCCTGACATCACCGTCCGAAATGGGTATCACGATATCATTTTAAATATCTTTTCCTTTTAATTGCTGCAAATATGAACTTATGAAACAAAATATGGATTTCCATTTTAAAATTTATCAGTATGTTGAAATTAGAAATAGAATTGAATGACTTTTGGAGTTAAATCTTACCAATTAGAGTTAAACTTTATCAAATCGTTTGACACTGTTTAAAATTACCAAACTGCATGCAGAGATGACAGGCTTCTAGACATGAATGAAGATAGTTCGACCCAGGAAGTGAGTGTGACCTCTCAGGGGGAGGTCAACATGAACATCTTCAGAGTGATGACGACATTTTGTGACCTGGATTTAAAATACTTTCCATTCGACAAACAAACATGCTACATCTCGGCAAACATCTGGTCCTATACAACGGACCAGGTTTCACGCACCACACACACACACACGCACACACACACACGCACGCACGCACACACACACACACATACACACACTCAAACACACACACACACATACACACACTCAAACACACACACACAAGAAATCGCACCATCATCAGGATTCATAACGCTGTCAAATTCAGGTTTCATTCAGACCGAAGTCCTATGAGATTGGCTTGGGCCGGCTGGAAGATGATGATGAGTGGGTAGTCACTGGGACGAAGATGTACTTAGTTGAACATGTACAGCAGTGCAGTCATTTAGAATGTTTGCTAAAAAATTTGTTTAACCTGAAAACATGTTAACTTTAAAAGTTTCCACAAATTTTATTGAATTTTAATCCACAAAAATAATAAAAAATGAAATAAATTAAAATAAATTAGTCCTACAATGTCCTGCATTCAACCGGAATGGCAAGCTACAGCATCGTGAACTTCAAAATCCACCTAGCCAGGAACCCGCAATTCTATCTTACTTACTTTTTATTTTCCTGTGTCGTGTCAGCCTCAGTTTCCACTTTCGTCTTCCTAATGCCCTCCGATTCCCAGCAGATGGTTGATTTCGGCGTGACAATCATGCTGTCCTTCAATTTCTTCCTCAATTCCATGTACTTCATTCTGCCGCAAACTGGAGATTACATCCCTTGTTTGAGTTAGTTCACTATTTTCTGTGCTGGTGATTTTGTCTCGTGTGCAAAAAATTTCAAAAACTTATGAAAGATTAATTTTTTTTTAATTTTAACCAATCCATTCAGCGATGTACGTCATTTTTGTGATGTTCGTGTCATTCTTCTTCCTCTTCTTCACAATAACGAACCTGATGCTGTACTATCACCAAGAAGACGACCCACCACCATCATGGCTCCAACACATTGTCCTCGATAAACTGGCCTGGTTCATCGGCATGAAGAAGAAAATTATTTGGGTACCTGAGAGGAACCGTTCGAAGGAATCAAAAAGTGGAACTATCGAACACCTGCAATTTCTCTTCCAAAACATCAAAAAGTCAGTTTACTTCATACAGGACACAGTCAGACAGGAACGTCTGCGCACCCGCTACGATGATCCCAAGGAGCAACAGAAACGCGAGGAGAACAACGAGACCATGCAGCTTTTGGCGCAGCTCATCGAAAGGATGAGGTACTTTAAAGGTTTGAATTTCAACGGCGCCGACATTAATTTAACCGACAACAATCTGCACAACGATAGTAATAGAAGTAGTTCTTTAGTCTTTCCTAGCAAGCGTAACGTGAGGCTTATTGAAATCCTGGATAAATTAAAACAAGAGAAACCTCAGAAGAAGCACTTGAAGAAACATAACAAGTCGTACTCCCGCGAGAAGTTGTATGATTTGGTAAACGAAGTGGAGATGTTGGTGAAGATGAAACCTCTTTTGGTGCAGGTTTATGAAATCTTAAACCACGAATCCAACATCATAACGAACAAAAATTTGTGGATTGGAATTGTTAACATCATCAACAGACTTTCATTTTATGTCTCGGTCATTGTTTCAATTTTTGGAAGTCTCTTGTTTCTTCTATTTTATCCGACCTCAGAACCCGATATAGTTGATCCACAGATTAAAAGCGAGTTCTATAATTGAGCTCTAAAATTTGTGGCTTTTGATTCTTTAGAATTGATTTTTGATTTAAAAAATATGTTATTTCTGTTTTTTACTGCTAGATACTGACTGATTGTCTAAATGTTTTTCTTTCATAACGCATCTGTTAATTCATTCTTTAATGTCCTAATATTCTCATGAGATTTTCAAACGAATAATTTTTTTAGAAAATTTTTTTATATGCCAACAACTTTATTTTATAAAGTTAAATCAATTTTATGTTTTGAAACGAAGTGCTCCGAAGCAATATTTTCCAAACATTTATATCAGAGATCCTTAAAATAATATTTTTCATAACTTTATTTCTGTGTAGCTATTTATCTTATTATAAATTTTTATATGAAAATGAATCATTCGCCGTAAACTCTCTCTTCTCTATTGCCAATTTTAAATATTCGGTTTTATTATTCTACATTTGAAATGTTCCATTTAAAGTTTTTCCAAATAATCAAAAACCTCCGTCAAATAAAATTTCATTGAACGAATGACTGAACTATTTTTCCAAATCGTAAGATATGTCGAATTTATATTTTAAAGAAATGTATTTCAGCTCTTTAATTTTATGGAGGTAGGCGGGCCAGGAGAACCCGGGGAAACGAAGAAGTAGAGACCAATAATTATTTAGAGGAAATCCGAAATTAAATTGCCTGGAGACTTCTTATTTGTTTAATTTCAGAGTCGACATGAACTTGAAAATTTTGAAATCGCCCTCCCCATTGCAAAATTCTGGATCGACCACTGAACAGCTTTGAATTTATTACAAAGTTATGGAGTATTTGTGTAGCATGTTTACTTTAAAATTTTAACAATGTTTCAACAGGAATATTTGTATTCTTGTAAGTTTTATTTGCTCTGTTAATCTCTTACTTGAGTCAATAAACTTTCTGAATGAAAGAAAATTACTTGGCCACTGATTTATAAGTCGGAATTGATTTGATCTAAAATTTCGCGGAATGATATTGTTTTAAGTTTTTTTTTTCTATAAACTTAACAATGCATCGTTTAATTAAAACAAAGATTTTTGTGATCGTGAGTCGAATTGTCATTTTTTAATTTGTCATGGTCTATTTATAAATACTAATTCAACACGTATAAATTATGTGCTGCGTGTGTGTTAATTTTAAATGGAACGCACCAGTTTTATAAAAACTAAAAAAGCTTAAATTTTAGGGCCAAATTTTAATAGATCGATTTAAACAAAGAAAGATACCATTCATCTAGATTTCCATTTAGAATGAACAGTCATACATTTTCAACTTGATTCACAGAATCCTAAACCAAAGAAACGCGATAAACAATTGCAAACAACAGCAACATCACGTACAACCTCACCAACATTACCGTCACCAACTCCACAAGCAGCAGCAGCTAGAGATGGAGTTGAAAGGGCCGCCTGGAGCAACAAATTTGAATTCATTCTGACCATCGTCGGCTTGGCTGTTGGTCTCGGTAATTTGTGGAGGTTTCCTTATTTGTGCTACAGGAATGGCGGAGGTTTAGAATTTGAAATGAATTAATTAAACGAATGAAAGAATTAATTAATTATTAATTAGTTGATACATTTTTTTGAAATGGAAATTCAACAAAACTCATTTTGAGTAAACCGTCGTTTCAATCTATTCAAAAATTTATTCAGAATGGAAGTTATTTCAATTTAATTTAGTTTAAAACGTACTTTCATTCTACTGAAAAATTTTTTTAAATTAATTTTTCCATGTTTTATCTTCCAGTCAAGCAATAAATTGGAAAAATAAATTGATAACCTCGAGACGATAAAAATGTAAACCTATTTTGAAGGCGCATTCTTGATCCCATATTTTGGCTCACTCTTTTTACTTGGCATCCCGATTTTTCTTCTGGAAATGGCAGTGGGACAATTTTGTGGGAAGGGTCCTATTGGAATGTGGAGTCTCAACATGCTGCTTAAAGGTTTGTCGTCCCAATCTATCAATCAATCAATCGATCGATCAATCAATCAATCAACCAACCAACCAACCAACCAGCCAGCCAACAAACCAACCAACCAACCAACCACCATCTAACAAATCAACCAAACAACCAATCCATCAAGGCCTTGGGATATCCTTTGTAGTGATGAACACAGTGGTCGGCATCTACTACAACGTCATAATCGCGTGGGCGTCTTACTACTTCTTCGCCTCTATGACATCAAAACTGCCCTGGCAGGATTGCAACAATTATTGGAACACTCAGAACTGCTGCAAATTCGAGGACTTAAATTCTACTAGTATTATTAATAAGACTACTACCGATATTGCTTTTTCAGCTGCCGCTACTACTACTACTACTGCTGTTTCTACTACTACTACTACTACTGCTGCTGTTTTTACTACTACTGCTGTTTCTACTACTACTACTACTACTACAACTGTTGCTTTATCTACTATTGCTACTACGGCTACTGTTGACGCAGCAGCTGCTGCTACTACTTCTGCTACAAGTACTGCTGTTGCTGCTACTACCACTGCTACAAATAATAATAATAATGAAATTTGATGATAAGCTAATCAATAAAAATAAAAAAAATGATCTGTTTTGTTTTTTTTATTTTACTTTAGGCTCTATCAACTCAACCGCGGCATTGGCAAATGCTTCAAACTGCCTGACGGGACCGGCGGAGGAATACTTTTAGTTGGTTTTCTGTTTTGCGAATTTGAAAATTTCTAATAAAACTAATTTATTTAAAAATTAAAATAATCAACATAATAAATAAATCAACTGTCAATTTCAATAAAATATGAAACAGTAACTAAAATTAATCAAATGTTCACGATTAAAAGCAACGAAGTGCTTAAAATTTCGAGTGGGATTGAAGTTGGAGGGGGCGTTGTTTGGCGGCTGGCCCTATGCTTGCTCTTTTGCTGGGTCGTCGTCTACCTCGTTCTCATCAAGGGCATCCAATCTCTTGGAAAAGTTTGAAAGCCTTACTTATCTTATCATTTTAGAAACAAGAATAACTACAAAGTTTGATCATCTAGTTGTTATAAAATGAGAGAAAGAATATTCGCGCATGTGATAAGAGAAAGATTTCTTTTGCATTTGCCAGGCACCTTAACCATTACGCCATCATTACTACTACTACTCTACTACTACTACTACTTTTACTACTACTAACTACTATTTCCACTACTACTGCCACTACTACTTCTGCTACTAATACTACTGCTACTACTACTACTACTATAATAAATTATACTACTACTTCTGCCACTAATAATAAAGAATCTCACCAAAAAAGGTTTCATACTTCTCCACCATCTTCCCTTACGTCCTACTGACCATCATGCTGATCAGAGGAGTTACATTAGATGGGGCCAGGGAAGGAGTTCTCTACTACATCAAACCTGATTTTAAGAAACTGGCCGTGGCCAGTGTATGTTCGTCGCTGTTGAACTTTTTTCGAATTTTGTTGAATTTTTTTATTTCATATTTTATTGTATTAATAATTAATTATAGTTTATAGTTAGCGAAATGGTGTGATTGATAAAGCGCCTGGTTCTGGCGAAACTTCCGATTATCGCATGTTTCCCGGGACACCTCTGAAAATTATTTAAAGACGCGTTAACAATACGAACTATAGCAAGAATTATAATAATAACTATATTTATTATAATATAAATAGCATAAATAATAACAAATGTCTATTTTTTAATTATTTAAAATTAAATTCAGACTTGGAGTGATGCGGCCACACAGATCTTTTACTCACTGACCATTTGCACTGGCTGCATGACCACGATGGCGAGCTTCAACCCCTTCCATAATAATATTCTCAGGTAGTCGTTCATTTTATAATAATAGTAATATAAATATTAATATGAATAATAACATGGATATTATTATTTTATAATAATATGAATCATAATATAAATAATAATATGAATCATAATTTTTGCATAATTTTCTCTAGTTTCAGAGAACCAGCAACAAACACACAACCACACAGCATGTGATAGACAATATTTAACTTTCTTCCAAATTTTATCAAATTGTAACCCAATTAACCTAATTATAACCTAAATCACCTAATTACTTTTTGCACCTGAACCATAATTTTTTAAATAGCTAATTATCAAATTACCGAAATTTTCCAAAAAAAACTAGAGATGCCATCCTGGTGCCTATAATAAACTGCCTGACGAGTTTCTACGGCGGCTTTGCCATTTTTTCAATTCTTGGCTACATGTCCAAGCAGAAGGGAGTTCCAATCGATCAAGTGGCCGATCAGGGTTAGAAAGGAACATAAAAATTAACAAAAAATCCAAATAATTAAGATAAACCTTAACAGAAATCTTAACAGAAAGACGATAGGCAAGTTAGCTCAGTCGGTAGAAGTGTCATGTTTCGCGTTGTTATTACGCGATTGTCAGGGATTCAAATACTGCCTATTTTATAATGTGCACGCATGTCGTGTGTTTGGATAGATAAGGCAATCTTTTTCTTAGCTATTGCAGTCATATAGATAGCATGCGAAACAACTCAGCAATAAAAATAATGAGAAAAATAATAATTTGTAATAAAAATAATACTAGGAATGAAATATGGGAAAAGATTATTATAATTTAACTATGTTGGATAATAATTAATTATAACGTGAAACGAATTTATATTAAAATTTAATCACAGTTTAAATATTGAAAGAAGTTAATTGAGATCAAACAAACGGTTTCGCGATATCATCCGACCAAACATTTCTGACAACAATGATTTTATTATTCTATGTTTAAGCATTGGTAAACTAAATATATACAATACACATATATCTAACAATCAGCCAGCTAAACAACCAGACAATCAACCGACAAACAAACCAACAAACTAACTCTTCCAGTTTTTTTTGTTTTTTTGTTTTTAGATATATGATAAAATTATACTTCATTCTTGACTGTATTTTTTTAACAGGAGCGGGTTTGATATTCGTTGTGTACCCCGAAGCACTGTCAAAGATGCCCATAGCCCCACTGTGGTCCGTCTTATTTTTCTTAATGATGATGATGCTAGGCTTTAGTTCTATGGTTAGTTGGTTGGCTGGCTGGTTGGTTAGCTGACTGGTTGGTTGGTTTGCTGGTTAGTTAATTGGTTAGTTGGTTGTTTGGTTGGTTGGTTGATTAGCTTGCCGGATGTTTGTTTGATTGGTTGATATTTAACCAACTAATTTTTACCAATATTTAACTTTCCTCCCAATATAATTAACCTAATTACAACCTAATTAATTTAATTACAACCTAATTAATCTAATTACAACCTAATTAATCTAATTATAACCTAATTCACCTAATTATAACCTAATTAACTTAATTATAACAAAATTAACCTAACTATAACCTTATTATAACATAATTAATATTTTCCAAAAAGTTCTCTTCAACGGAAGTCACACTTTCAGCCATCATCGATGAATTCCCAGTCTTACGGCGGACCCGATGGCACGACATGGCATCGCGGGCCGTGGCCTGTTTTGCTTTCTACCTGTTCGGTCTTATCTTGGTCACCAATGTCAGTCGGTCATTTTTTTTTCACTTCTAATTTTTGTTTGTTTATATGTTTTTGTTTAAAATTTTGGTTTCTTCATTTTATTTTTTCTTGTTTTTTTTTTTTTTTTAGAAAATAATTTTAGTGTAGTCTTTATTTTAAAATTTTAAAACGTGCGAGCGTGCAAGTATGTTTGTTTATACAGTGTATGTACATTTTTGTGTAATTGTGCAGGAGTGTGTAAGTATGTATGTACATTTTTGAAAAAAAGTGAAGGATTTATAAAATGTAAAAATAAACATCAAAATAGACAACAAAGTGACTGACAACACCCGCACTCACGCACACACACAAACACGACACACACACACACTACACACAAACGAACGAACAAACACACAAACAAACACATACAAACGCAGGGTGGATTTTATTACTTGAACCTGGTTGACTTCTACCTTGGCGGAGTACCCCTTCTCATAGCTGGCCTGCTGGAGTTTGTGGCCGTCATTTATATCTACGGTCCGGTCGAAAATTGCCCCATTTTGCTCTTTTCCTTTCTAAAAATGATACCCGTATGATACAAATGATACCTGTAAGACAGAAACGATACACGTAAGGTACAGATGATATCAGTGAGATACAAACGTTACTTGTAAGATGGAAATAGTACCCGTAAAATACAGATGATATCAGTGAATACATACACGTAAGATAGAAATGATACCCGTACGATAGAAATGATACCCGTAAGATAGAAATGATATCAGTGAGATACAAATGATACACTTAAGATAAAAATGATATGATATCAGTAGGATACAGATGACACTTGTAAGATGAAGATAATACTCAAGAGATAAAAATGGTATCATGATATCTTCAATGAATTTTTCTTCACTAATGATTGGCTTATCGTAATATTAAAACAAAACCATTAAAAACAACGCCACAAAGTGTCTGTACACCGAAACCATAAGCGATAACCATTTCAAATTTTGAAAGGTTATTCAAACTTTGCTATGGACATCAAGATGATGCTGGGTAGGAAGGTTCCTATGTTTTTCACCATAGCCTGGTATTTCATCTCTCCGGCTCTCCTCCTGGTCAGTTTGTATGTCTATTATAACAATAGTTTGAGATATTTTAAAATATCCTTTTAAACGATTTAGAAAGACTAATTAAAATTATATAACATTTGTATGTAACGTACATAAAATAATTTCAAAATGTCTTATTGGTTGTAAATTTTTTAAAACGTTTGAAATAAATTTTTACCTTTTGATAGAAATCTAACTTTTCCTATCTGAAAAAGAGTGTCATTATCTTTGAATGTTCAAACCTATGTAAAAACTATACTCGTTTATCTGACACAAATAAAAGACACAAACTTGAAAAATGACTTAGCAGTTTTACCTTTAGATAATCGCAGTTCTCAAATCTGTGAAAGACTTTTATTAACTATCGAATTATCAAACCTAAATTAACAGTGAACTCGTTTATCTGACTGAAAAAAATCTAAAATAACCAGATAGTGACCGTAGCAGCTTTCGTCCAGATGGATGTCCCAGTTCTGATGAATCGACCTCTCCCTTTCTGGGCAGTTGTGGTGGGGTGGATGTTTGTCTTGCTCACTTTGATTTCAATTCCAGTTTGGTTCCTCTACTACTACGCTAGGAGCGGTGGATGGCAGGTAGTGCAGTCAATTTAAACGTTTTTGTGTCATCGTATATAACTCTACAGCACTACAGTTGGGTTTATTTATTTCTAATTTTCAAACGTGAACTGAATAAATTTTTTAATTCTTAAAATCTAATTAATTGATTAATTAAAACTATATATATATATACATATATTTTTCAATCGTTATAAATCTAAGATTAAAGCTATATTAACATTGGATTAAAACAGCGCTCATACTTATATGATAATTTCCAATATCCACACAATCAGTTGTTGAAAAATCTCTCCCACTCAACTGACTCGTGGGGACCTGCGGATGATGAGAACAGAACCGGAAGGTATGCTCGTCGTCGTCTGGCGTCGGTAAGACCTACTGAGACTATGCTGCAAGGAAACAGCAACATCGGTTGCAGCAACATCGGTTGCAACAACATCGATTGTAGCAACATTGATTGCAACAACACTGATTGCAACGACATTGAATGCAACTCAAGGGAAATTATAACGTCGTACGTTATTAATCAGGGATCGGGCAGTGCTGAGCTAATGTCCGTCAAAGACCGTCAAGTCGCGTATACTTCTAGTAACCAAGTTTCGGATTCTAACATCCATGTCTCGGAAATTGTTAACAAAATGTCTGATATCAACCGACGAGAATCGGATAGAAACGAACATGCATTTAGATCCAACAGCGAAAAATCGGACGATGATCGTCAAGTATCGGATAATGGCAATGAAGTATCGGATACCGGCAACCGAACGATAGTAAGTGACCACCGACAGCAACATTGTGCATCACCTGACGGTTACAACAACGAAGGGTTTGAAAAGTTTTGACGAGACCAAATTCAGTTCTGATAACTTACACATCATTGCGCACAAATAATTGAATGGATGAATGAATGTACGAATGAATGAATGTACGAATGAATGAATGTACGAATGAATGAATGTACGAATGAATGAATGTACGAATGAATGAATGTACGAATGAATGAATGTACGAATGAATGAATGTACGAATGAATGAATGTACGAATGAATGGATAGATGAATGAATGAATGGATGAACGAATGAATGAATGTATGTAATAAAAAAACGCAACACATTTTGTGCTTTTTGAATTTTTATTGAAAAATAAACAAGCCAACGAGAACAACGTGCTGCTACCAATCGATAACTTTATTATTAATGTTAATAAGTATAGTTAATGCTAATTATTACAATTAACATTAATTAATTAATTAATTATAATTAATGATCGTCGTCAAATTTCGCAAAGTATTCTAATGAGAAAAAGAGAACACAAAAACTTTAAAGATATTTTTTCAACTTTTTTCAAAATTTAAATTTTTTACATACAATATATATATATATTATATATATAACTGATGTTTTCATCTTAATTTATTTATAAAATACTATTAAACACTCGCTATATACACCCATTAAATATATAATCACATATATTATGTACATATACAGTCAAGTAGATTATACCACAAACAATGCAATCAGTTTTAGTCATCAATTGAGTAAATAAGGACAAACAGAGAAGAAAATGACGAAACAACGAACATGGCCCGTGTTCGACTGCACCCAAGATCCAGTGGTATAAACAAACTATAACTGTAGCAAACTGACTTCATGTCGTATCAGAAACTGTTAACAATGAAAGTCGCAACAATAAGATAACATTTTGTCCATTATACTCTTTGTTTTAAACTTTTTATTAATCATCACTCATAAAAAGAACAGTCTTTGAGTTGTCTTTATTAAATTTCTAACTAAATAAACCCTATAACTAACTGTTAAGCCATCGTCTAAAATGTTATACCCTTGTGACTGAAGATTACAGCTTGCAATTACACATTGATGGTTTGTGCCGAATTTGCTTCAAAGAAAATTACCCAAATTTTTTTTTCAATTTACGGTTTTTTACAAATAACAAAATAATAGTGACAGTTCAGGGGTTAAATTATATATATATATACGTATATATTATTAGATGATTTATATAGCGCCCATTAAAAGGTTCTCACATTTCATTATATATATATATATATCATGAAATATTGATTTTATTGGCTCTTTATAAATGTTCTATATATATATATATATATATATATATATATATTAGAATAAATATATTTATTGGTTCTATATCTGAACCCCGTTTATTTAATATATATATATATATATATATATATATATACACACACACACACAAACGTGTGTGTGTGAATTTGAGAGATGCATACAATAATAGATTTCAGTCTTTGTATCACATTTTATTGAATTCACATGATGTTGAATGAGTATGACGAATCAGTGAATAACAAAAAAAATATTAATAATTAATAAATAAATAATAACAGTTATTATAATAATAATGAACTTTATTTCCAAATGATATAGCTAATAATTAATACTACGGTAATTCGTTAGTTGTGCATATATATACATATAAACATATATATGTATGTATTAAATATATATATATATATATTTATTTAATTTTTATTTATTTATTTTTGAAGGATGATATTTTTGAAGATATATATATATATATAAATATATATATATATATAGATATATATATATATATATAAATATATATATATAGATATATATATATATATATATATATATATATAATACATACCGTATTTACTATAATATATTGCAAATTTATTTGGTATGATTTAGAGATAATAATTTTCCATTATCATTCCTCACATCGTCATCGTTGCTGTTTCATCATGGTCCATAGGTTCGTCCTCATCATGGTGACTGCGGTTCTCATCATCATCATTATTATTGTCATCATCAGCAGCTGCAGCAGTAGCAATATCATCGCCATCTCCAGCTAAATTATCTCCTTCCTGTTTTACTAGAAACTCTGATTTCAATTCGCGGTCATCATTATCGATGTTACCCTCACCAGCACCATCATCGTCGTCGTCGTTGTTGTTGTTAGTGGTGTAGAGATCATTCTTCTCATCATCTTTGTGGCATTCAACTTTTATAGCAGCTTCACTTTTAATATTTATAGCACCTCTATCATTGTCAACATCATCATTGCTCTCTAACTTATCATCATCCATATTGATGTCGTTATCTTTGTTATCATCATCATCATCATCATCATTATTATTATCACAATTGTTTTCGTTATCGTTGACGATCGATTCGTCAGTTGATTGCTGATGGTCGATGAGATTAGGAGCGCGTTCACCCGTCAGCTGTTTGGTTGGCATCATTTCATTTCATACATTAGTAGTGAAAATAACTTCAAAAAATTTTCAAACGTACATTAATAACCACATATCAATTGGTCCACATACATTCACACACGCATACATTCACACACACACACACACACACACACACACACACACACACACACACACACACACACACACACACACACATACATATATATACACAAATATGTTAATAAAACATTTACACAAAAGTTGAAATTTCATGATGAATGATATAAAATAAGGTCAACTGAAAAAATAAGGTCAACTGACTGCGTCCTCTTTGAAGTCTATCAGGCAGAGAGGATGGAAGAGTTTGTCGTGTTTGGTGAGGGCCTCCTTCAGGCACCATGCCTCTCTGTCGTCGTTCCAGACCCGATCGAATGTCTCGTGGCAGACAAAACATTTCTGGGAAAGAAAAGAAGATTATTGAATGGGTATATTTTATTTTAAGTTTTAATATTTTAAGCTTCGCTACTTCGCTGATGATAAGTTCAAAATTGGATCGAAGTGTCGTTCATGCAAAATTGATGATAGATGAAAAAATTAAACTTATTGAAAGAGTTTAGTGTGAAGAAATAACACAACTAAATACGGAAAGCAGCAGGAAATTTAAAATGATAACAACGGGCAATTAAGGTGTGGCAGAATGACAAATGTAATCAAGATGAGCCAGGTATAAGAACTAGAAATGCAAGCAATGGGAGAAATTAACAAGACATTCAACAACACGAAATGAAATACATCACGAGGAAAGATACCAACATTGTTAGCTGGGTGGTCATCGGATACGACAGGGCTCGTGATGCAGTCGGCGTTTGCAGCTGCTGCAGAGTCGGAAGCAGTGGCACCGATAACCACAGATAATGATTTGGACTCTTGTGGCTTAGATGCTTCAGATGATGGTGCATTTGTTAATGATGTTGTCGCCGCTGTGCTGTTGTTTGTGTTTGTGTCTGTTGGTTTATAGTCACTTGTGACGATGTTGTTGTCGTTCAACTGGATCCATTCCTACTTGGTTAGGGTCATTCATTAATCAGTTATACTGTTGTTGCACATTAATTTATGTCAACAAACACACACTCACACAAAAGAGACGCACACAAACATTCAAACAAACACAATCGAAAAAATCATAGCATGAAAATCATCATTCCCACCACCGAAACAAACCCCACAGAAAGATAACAACCACGAAAAACTGACCATTAAATCAGGATACCAGGACCTATACTTGAGAGATTTGGAGCCCGTCTTCTCTATCTTGTTCATGTTGAAGTGCCAATCAAGGTGAGAATTATACCTGGTCAGGTAAATATAAATATATTATAACATAAATTAATGATTACAACAAACATAAATTATGAATAAAATGAATTTCTTAAAAAATGTAGTTAAAGAAAGCAAATAGAAAAAACCACCACCGACCTTTTCTTAGCTTCTGCAGTTGATAACTGTGCTGACGATGACGTAGATGAGGACGTCGTGGGGAATCTAATTGCACAAGAAGAACACTGCAGTCCAGTGTATAAGGAACTGACCACCTCTTTGTACTTCCTGGAAAGAGTAAGAATTACTATTATATTATATTATATTATACGTTTCACAACAAAGGGAACAATGACACAAACAGCTGACAAAGATACAAACACACATACCCTTTCAAAGACTCGATCTTGAAATCTGTAAGGTCTGGAGTTGGTTCTACCTTATCAACATCATCTGCCACCACCGTTTGAGTCTGCAAAAGGTTCAAATGTATCAATGTTTAATAGCGATAATAACAATAATAATATGCTGAGCTAGCAATTATATGAGAACTGAAAATTATCTAAATTCATCGTGTTAATGAGATTTATTCACTACTGTCTATTAAAAACATGACTATAAGCAAACAAAAACCACATTTAAACAAAGATAAACATAAAATAAACTGAAAGCCAAACAATTAAAAAAGCTCACCTTCTTAATGGCGGGGAAAACTGATGGTACCGTCGTATTAGCAGTCTTCTTTTTCGTGCTGTCATTACCATCATCACCACCATCATCATCATCATTATTATTATTATTAGTAGTAGTAGTATTACTGATGATGATGTTATTATTATTATTATTACTGTTGTTGTCATTATTGTTGTTACTGGTGTCGTCAATTGAATTCTGTGTAGGTCTCGATGTTCCAATAATGCCACTAGCTAACAGCTTAGAAAGCAAAGATTGGACATCAATGGAGGACGATTCGTTGGCAGTCGGTTGCTTGGTTAAAGATGATTGGATGATTGGAGAGTTTGTATTTCTCGCAAAATTTGATTGGTTAGGAGAATTTGAATTTCGAACAGCAGATGATGGTGTGGGCAGGTCAGCTGGATTTGAGTATAATGTTGATGGCGGAGAATGTCTGTTTGGAGGAATGTTCAAGAGGTTTAACAACGGTGCTGGCAGTAGAGGTTTGGAAGTTAGAGTGGTAGTTAGCTGCGTTTGTTGATGCTTCTGCTGCTGCTGTGGCTGCTGTTGATTCCTTTCATCTTCTGCTTTGCTATACTCACCAGCTAAGAGGTGGTGCTTGTGGTGATGATCAAACACTTGATGATGCTGTTGCAGAGTTTTCTGTTGAGGCACTGGCTGAACCTTGAGCTGAGGTTTCATCTGTCGTTGTTGTGGCTGTCTGTCAACATGTTGCGGCTGCTGCTCAACGTAATGTGGCTCACGTTGAGGCCCAAAGTGATTGTAGTCGAGGATTTCCCTATCAGAATATTTATTTTGCTGTAAACAGCCATCAGCGTTGTACGAGAACGCATCTTCGTTCTCGAAAGGTCTGTTGTATCGGTTGAGTGGGTTGAGCTTCGGAGGAGCTGGAAGTAATGTTCTTGTAAAGGACTTGAATGCGTTACCCGAGACTGGTTTGTTGATGTTGACGTTGTTATTGTTGTTGATGTTGTCGCTGTTGATGATGTTTTTGTTGTTGGTCATCATGGTATCTGGAGAGCCTCTCCTCCATGAAGATGGAGCTTGAAAAGAAATTGTCATATTAAGAAAAGATGTCATATTAGATCATCTATCAACACTCTTTAATATAATATTGCTTGGTATAACTCAAGTGAAACATCTAACTCAATGAATTTATGATTTCATAGATAGAAGATAATTAAAAGATAAAATGTATAAGGAATAAACAGAAACGGGAGTGACGTAAGAAGTGATGTAAGATTAACAAACCGGCAAAGTTGGCAGGATCATTCATGAAACTGCTCCCTTTTTTGAATCCTGGCTGCCCCCTGTCAGGAACAGGAGCCACGGAAGAGAGAGCAGGTGAAGCGGAAACAACAGGGGTGCTGTTGCTAGTGTCACAAGAAATCTTTCTCAACCTCTCTGCTTCCATGGCAATGTCCCTCTTCATGACGTTCAACAGTTCAAAACTTTCGAGTGGCATGATGGTGCCAGGTTGGCTGTCGTTGCTGTTGCTTTCCAGGACATCCGGGGTAGGTAGAAGGGCCTTCTTCCTGTTTAGTAAATTTTTCCTCGGGTCGCGGTTGTTTGTGAAGAACTGTCGATTATTTTGCGAGAGACTATTAGCTAGGGGTGAGGACTTGACCTGAGGAAAATCAGTGGGGTGACTGGCCTTGAAGTCTGCCCAACCCGATGCTTGGGTGCAGGGAATTGTAGGAGACAGAAGCATCATGGGCGGCTGGGGTGGAGGTCGTAAGCGCAGGTCCTTATCTTCTGTGCCGAACAGTTTCCTTTGATTCAGTGAAAAACGTGGTTATCACAATTTTGATCAAAGTATCAAATTATGATCTGAGTTTTGTTAAAATAGATGACAGTTAGGACAGTAGCAATCAAAAAACAAACAAACTGATGCACCACAGCCATATAAATGACTAAATCACAAAAACTGAGTTTGACTATGAATTATCTAAATAAGCAAGAAACAGCAGCAATAGCACCAACCTAAGATCTTCAGACATCTTTGGAGTTTCATCCTTCGTACTTACTTCATCACCACCATCGGCACAATTGTTGTTACTCCCATCTGCCACCTTTAAACTCTCACCTGCACAAATAACTGTTGCAGATGCTGAAACCTTATTAACGTCATCACCCTTATTAAGTTTTTCAAAAAGATTAGAATTAATTTGTCTGGCTAGGGCCAATTTTTTTTCAGGTGACATGTCCATAAAGTCATCATTGTCCTTGTCTTTTAAAGGGCGTTTGTTCTTTTTCAGCGGACTGGCCTCAGTCATTTTCTTTTTGGTTCGGGGATCTAATTTTGACACCTTATCAGAAGATTTACGTTTTTTTGTTTTTACAGGCGGTGCAGCCTGAGCTGTCTGCAGGTGTGCAGTAGTAACAACTGGATTCATATCAAAGTTTTTGTCAGCTGGAATCAGATGATTGGAAAGTTGTGTAGCGCTAGACGTTTCAGAGGCAGGGAGGTTCTTATTTTTAAGTTTCTTCTTTTTCTTCTTCTCCAGCTTGATAGTGACTTGCAGTTCCTGAGTCTCCAGAATCACATTGGAATCTTTTTCAGGCTTTGTAGGGGCTACCTCCTCCTTCATCTTGTCCTTGGCAATGGGTGCAGTTTCAGAAGAGGTTGGCATGGGTTTGGGTATTTTGAGAGGTGGTCCGGACAATCTTGAAGCAGGTCTTCCATGGTTTAAAGTTGCAGACGTTGACTGGCTCAGTGCAGAGTCTGATGAAGAGGCAGTAACAATTCCCTTCAAACTTTCCTGTAGTTTGCCAAAATTAAAATTTGTTAGAATAACTCGTTGAACATGGATTGTGAAATGTGTGTCAGCTTAATTATGCCCACGTGTTAATGTGTATCGGAATTGTGTGTAGTTGTTAATGTGTGTATGTTATACGTATGTGTGAATGTACTCTATTAAATCGCCTACCATTGTGCATAGACATAGACATAATTTGTATTTAATTTGTGTTTTAAAAGAATACAAATTCAGCTATGTCTAGTGAAATTTCTGTATTTCGTATACTCATATCCACTCACACGCAGTTGCACAAACACTCTTGCTACAGTCGCACACACACACACGCGTGCGCGCTCGCTCCCACACACACACACACACACACACACACACACATGTTTGTATGTATTTGATTGTAATAGATAAGTATGTCATGAAATGTTAAGAAGATAATGTTAATGTAGATCTAAAATAATTATATGAATACTAGAGGTCTAGAGCATTATCACAAGTTTATTTTTGACATTTTTGAATAAAAAATATATAAATAAAATATATGTAGATAGAACATTTAAAACAAAATTTATGAAAATTGTCTCTTTTAAAAGAATCAAATAAAAATTCCAAAAAATACCAATATGAAAATCATTGATAAAATATCACATATGATTAAAAGTCTTTATCACGAAACAATTAACTTTTAAACAAAGCAACAAACAACATCTACCCCATCTAATGAAAAAATAATTTTTAATTAATTAAAAAATAAATTAATCAAAACATCAATCAATTAGACAGACCAATTAGTAATAATAACTCACAGAGAAGCATGAAAAAAATAAATACATTGTATGCATACATACATATGCACGATGTATGTATGCATATCAGTCTCTAATTATGAAAAAAACTTGAAAACAACAATAACCTTACATAAAAATTTGATAAAAAAATATAGTGATCTATATAAGGTTAAAAATTTACGCACATATGTAACATATATTGCGTACGTGTATATAAATACATATACATAAATATATTGCATCCATACAATATCTACCTAGTCAATAACAAGCCATCATATGCATAGGAGTAAATATAACTACAGAAATATATATAAACATGTATGCATGTGTATACGTACGTACATATACAGATAGAGACATACGCATGTGTCACACTATACTAAAAGGTGGTGGACACTTGGTTGATGGGCAAGACGAGACAATGGGCAAAGACAGATAAAGTAAAATCACAACCATTTATGACCAGATACTAGGGTGGTTCACATTTGAATGGGGAAAAAAATTTTTTGTCTGATTTGAGTACACACCCTCTGAAAAGTTTCCATTGGGTCCTAAAAACTTACAAACCAAAAATAAGACAAATCAAATTAAATTTAGAGGTTGCTCATGCATCTCAAAATTATATAAAAGTGTGATAATTCATTATTTCGAAACCAAATACAAATATAACTGGAAAAGTATCAAAAGTTGGTTACTTACTTAATTCAAAACATAGATATTAGATATTTTAAAATGCATTATTATTATTAAATATTCTATGGTCACCATATTTGTTGTCAGCAAAAAGTAAAATAGGATAAATATCTGCATAATTTAACTGTGTCGATTTACTAGTAATTTGAGGTGATTTTGAAATACCGGTACTGTACATATTTAACTACGTATAAAATGGCTTCTAATTCAAACTGTGGTGCTCTTACAACACGCAGCATGACTAACATATGGCTGATTGGACAGTTACAAAGTGAACTTCCAGTAAATGTATTGCCTACAACAGGTGATTTCCTGAGAATGTTTTTTTATTATCATCAAGTAGAAAAGAAAACTGTGCCTGAAAGTGCAAAACTGTCGTCAGATAAGGTCATGGACATGTGGAACAAGGCTAGAATACCAACAACCTACCATACTCATGTTGTAGAAAAAGTAAAGTCGGTAGTTGATGACTACAAGCTAATAAAAAAGAACAAAAACAGACAAAGTGAAGCACAACGAGCACGAGAGAAGGAATTTGAAGAAAAGGAGCACATGCTGTTTGATATTGCTCACCAACACGCCATGCAGCTCATCCGAATTCAGGAAGATATAGAATTTCTTGAAGACCAGAGGGGCAGTCGACGAATGCAAATGAGTGGCATTGATAAAGACCTGACCAAAAAAGAAGAGCGCACAGAACAACGTAAATGCAAAGAAGAGAGAAAAGAGCGAGAGCAGGAGCGGATGACAGAAAGTACCTCACTACATTTATCTAGTTCTGATGACAGTGATAGTGAGGACACAGGACACAGAGGACAACTATGAAATTGAAATTCCAGTGTACTACAAAAAGCAGATCAGTGAAGTAGAAGACAGTCTGTCAAGCAGTGCCAGCAAAAAAACACGAACTGTGCAGGATATGTTGTCGTCGCCAGATGTTGCTTCAGCACTGGATAGAATAAACCTGTCAGATAGAAAGTTCACAGTATTAGCAGCAGCCATTGCACAAGCTAGTGGGCAAGACATCAGGGATACATCTCTGTCACGTTCCACAGTTCATCGTAAACGACAGCAACATCGATCAACCATTGACAGCAGTATTCGTCAACAATTTCAGGATCGTGACAGAAACTCCCTTCTGGTTCACTGGGATGGGAAGATCATGAATGATGATCCACACTCCAGAACTGATAGACTGGCTGTTGTTGTGACTGGCTGTAATGTGGAGAAAATCTTAGGAATTGTTAAAATTGCATCAAGCACGGGACAAGCACAGGCCAATGCAACTTTTCAGTTGCTCAAATTATGGGACGTTAGTGAAGACATTATAGGCATGTGCTTTGATACTACTGCTGCCAATACTGGGACGTCAAGTGGAGCATGTGTTTTGCTGGAAAAACTGCTCCATAGAAATCTCTTGCACTTTGCTTGTCGTCATCATGTACATGAATTGATAATCGGTGAAGTTTTCACAGTTCTGTTTGGTCCAAGCCATGGCCCCAACATTGGAATGTTTGAAAGATTTCGAGCCTACTGGCCAAATATAAATCAGTCAAACCACAAGCCACTTGATGATGACAGGATGAACCACTCATTGCTACAGATGATGCGGTCTGACATAGTACCATGTTTTCTTTCAGCTGACAGCTCATACATCCCATGAGAGGATTACAAGGAGTTGGTTGAACTCTGTTTCTTAGTGCTGGGTTATCCAATGCAGACTGATGGCAAGTACCATTTCCGTGTTCCTGGAGCATATCACATGGCCAGATGGATGGCCAAAGTGATCTACTGTCTTAAAATATATTTGTTCCGCAATGAATTCAAGCTAACAGCAACTGAAACAAAAAGTTTAACTGAAATCTGCCTATTTGCAACCCATATATATGTGCCAGCATGGATGTTGTGCCCAATACCCAGTGATGCACCAGTCAATGACCTGCAACTTCTGAGCAGAATTGAACAATACTCTGAAATCAACAAGAATGTAGCAAGTGCTGCCACAAAAAAGTTGAAGAATCATCTGTGGTATCTCGGTACAGAAATGGTTTGGCTGTCATTGTTCTCAAATAAGGTTGCAAATGCTGAGAAGCAGTTGATTGTGGAAGCAGCAGATTCTGACTGGAGTGTGCGAGGTGTCAAATATCCTGCAACTGAACTGGAACAGGTGAAAAGCAAACCACTGCATGATCTGGTATCAGGTACATCTCGTGCTGCATTGTTATCACTTGGAATGGATGTTGCTATCTTGCGTGAAACTGAACCAGACTCATGGAATGATCTTCCTTTATTTTAAAAAGTAGCAAATGTTGTGAAGTCACTTAAGGTCGTTAATGACACTGCAGAACGCACTGTGGCACTCATGACAAATTTTAACCAGTCTATAACCAAAAATGAAACAGATACAGAAACAAAAACTGATACAGGTGGTGGAGGACAATCGAACATGTATTCCGGACTCCTCTAAGCGCACATTAGCCAGTGCTCAAGCAGCTGCGGCTATGTTTTGAGTCTGACATACTATGAGTGATTAACAGAAAAACATAAACTGAGTACATTAATTGCCTCAAGTTAATTTCAGTTTCTCAATCAAAGATTAACAGTACTGAACTTTCGTTTGGCATAATCAAGTTGCCTTTACCATGTGAGAACTGTTTGTTTAGTGTTGAATATTTTGTTATTTTGAGTATAAATTTGTAGAACTGTTAAATCTTACATGATTTTCAAAAGAATGTTGTTCATTTTACTGCAAAATAAACATTAAACACAAAATTGTAGCACTGACCAATATTCGCTTATATGCTAAATATGGTGAAAAACTGAATGTCATTGAGCAACCTCTAAATATTGTCAGAATTGAATGAAATTTTACACACATGCTAACTTTCAGCTAAGGAAAAAATATAGGGGGTGTGCACTTAAATATTAAAAAAAAATTTTTTTGAACCACCCTACCAGATACGTATCTAAATTAAAACACAAGTGACCCAACTTCACTTTAGAAAATCCTACCTACACTAAACTGTTAATAAATTATATGACTAGTCCATGATCATCATGATGTATTGGCCATAAAATTTATATAGTAAACGAAAATGCTCGTTATGTATAGCATGTGAATATATATATAAACTATTGACATTATGAAAAATAGAACCAGCTTAAAAGCCACTGTTCTATAAAGTCACTAGCCTCACTGCCATTATTAACCTTAGCTCGAGTTAGGAATGCTGATGTTTGTTGCTTTATGGCAGAAGGTTTGGGTTGTGGTGCGGGGTCTCCAGGTTGTCTTGCTGTGATTGGCCAAGCTGGATCTATGGACTTTATAGCAATGTCTAGACTCAAGAGTGTTTCGTTGGGAAATAGGTTGACCCACGTTAGGCGGAGTTTGTACAAGGCTGCTCGTGTCTTCTCGTCAACCTGCAAATTCAAAAAGTTTAAGTGAATTATCTATGCAATTTCAATAGCAGTTTATCAAGGATTTTTTTACAATTTGAATAAATTCAATTATTTAAAAAATACAAACTGTACTTACTTTCTCAAAAATCATGACAAAAGTTAGAGGCAAATTCTTTTTGAATAATTTCAAATAGTCACTGTCAGGTATATTTTTAATGATGGAATCCATCAGATATATAGCTGGTAGTTTCTGAGTTGGGATTGCCTGGAACAAAAAATTTATTATTTAATAATTTTGAAATAATTGCATAAATAATATGAATAACATAAAAATTATTAACATGATAAACACAAAAAATAAGTTATTAGTCATTAACACTTAATATAAAAAAGTATACTATTTGTTTCATATTATTAACATTAATAATTATTTAATTTTTAATCTGACAATCTCATTTCAATAATTTTCCCCATAAATCTTATCTGAAAAAATTATAAGCGCTACTCTAAAACTAAGCAAGGGCTTAATCAAAAACAACTGACAGTCTGAGTTTAGTGTAGACAATCAAGGGCAAATTAGAAATTACCCATTAGATAAAAACTACACCTGAAATAAAATGAAAAAATGATTTTAAATATATAATTAAATTGAAGCATAAAAACTAACAGTTTTTATTCTGTTCTCGACTGCTTTCACAATGTTAGCGGCCAGATGTTTGTTCTCCTCTGCCAGCATTGTCAGGGCGTTGATGTGCGGCTTGCTGTTGAATGTCAAATCTTCTAACGTGTATCGATACTCCATTATGCAGGATTCTTCCTCATCGGCCATTTGTAAATATTTTTACAAACTAAATTTCTTCAGAATACGTAGTAGAAAGTTGAGTCGTAGAAACGTAAAACCCGAGCGTTAGTTACGTGATTACGATGAGACTTGAATATAGAAATGACGCATCTACTAATAACTTTTAATTAGTTTATCAAATCGAGTTACCGATTACAATAAATTTAAGTAAAATAAATACAATCGATTAAAGAAAATCTTAATTTTAGCGTACCTAACTTAGAAATTACTAACTAAATGAACCAATATGGCTGTCTGGCAAGAAAATCACGAACAATGTAAAGAAGACTATTTATATGGTTCGACTAAACAACGTAAAAGATATCGTAAAGTACCATAGTAATAATTTTACAAAGGGTTCAAGGGTTTATACGATCTTACCTAGTTAGAATATATCAGTCTATCTTCACGTTTCATTATTTAAACTTTTTATTCTTTACAACCATAGTATCTCAAAATGATTTATCCTAAATATTCCATTGTCAATTTTATTCAAAACAAAGTTATGCTAAGATGAACATTATTATAAAATCAGAAAAATTTAAATTAATAAATAATAATATAGCAATAAAATTTAACAAAAACTGAACTATACCCTTATGCCTAATCATTTATAGAGAATATATACATGTTAGGGTACCTTATATATATATATTTGTATAGATATATTTATATATACACACTGTAATATTATTATTTAATATTTATATTCAAATATCGTAACGAACGTCGAAATACCGCATAAACTCGAGTTTTGTAAGCAAAGTCAGCCAAAGTCAGCAAAGTCAGACACTTTTTAAAGAGTCTGCCATTTACTGCCGACCTTGTTCCTTTAATTGAAGTGCTTAAAAATAAAAATATGCTAAATAGATTATTTTTTTTGCCTAATTTCAGTCGAAATCGTTTGTTTAGTCGGGAAATATTTTTTAAAAATAATTTTAAAATTGAATTAATTCAACTGTTAATATCACTTTTCACAAATTAGTAGTTATTAAAACAAAAAACATTCTTTTTTTTACTTTAGAATTGAGAATTTGAAATAAAAAATTAATTATTTATTATTAAATTAGCTAAATAAATATGAAAATGAATAAAACATCCAGTGCCAATAATAGTAACAGTGGGACTATGGATTTGGCGGAAATAGAGAAAGTCATTTTTAATGGCTTGGGAAAAGCTCTGCAAGAAAATTACATTAATAAAGTAAGTAATGTTTTCTTGTTTATTTGGCCTTCCATTTATTTTTATTTAATAATTTTGTTAATTTTATAGTATTTCTTAAATAAGAGCATTAACAACCAGACATATTGTGTGTATTATATAATACTATATATATAATAAAATAAGTGTAAGTATTATGGCAAAAATATGTTTGAAACTTTGATTTGATTGTTGAATTTTTTTTTTTATTGTTCATTGAATCATTCATGTTGAACCTTTTCACTTTGTTGATAAATTTTTCAATTTTCTAATTTAAATATTATTACTTTCCTTTTTTACAGAGCGAAATAAAAGTAAAATTCGAGTTTGAAGATGAAATGAGGTAACTTAATTTTATCTTAAAATAATAAGTTTACATTATTTATTTATTAATTATATTTCAATCTCTAATAATTAAAGTGCTTTATCTTTAATTTTATTTGGTTAATTAATTACTAAGTCTTTATAAGTTATCTATATATTTTGTTAATCTCATGTGTATTAAAAATTATTCAAATTTTTAACACTAATAACAAGACAAAGCAATAAGTTATTACCTAAATTAGTTTTTTCAAATCAAAACATCAATTTTTTAGTTGATTAATTAATTATTTAATAAATAATATAATTAGTTAATTACTATCTACAGGACAATATTATGGTCCCAGCCGATAAAATTTGATCAATTATTGTCCAAAGTGGAAAAATTATTCAGACCAAATGTATTGATGAGGATTTTTGTCTCAAAGGACCACCAGGTGAAAAACTTATTTTAAAATTTTTTTTATTTTATTACCTTCATTTCATCATAAGATTAAAATTATTATTTTCTTTATCACTGTTATTGTTGAAATAAGTTTTTTCATTATATTATTATTACAAATGTTACATAACGATGAATATTTATCTGAGAAAGTTTTTTCTAAAAAGAAAGATTTACTATTTAATTATTTTACGTCAGAATCATCGTCGCTTTCTTCATCATCCTACCAGGAAATGGTCATCATTAACTTGTCATAATCTACATTCTTTATCATCATTCCATGCCATCACCTTTCACAACATGGCAGAATGGCCATCATTAACCTGACCATTTGTTGTCCATCCTTTATTATCAATTACCTCCACTACATGACAGGTGTTTCAAGTCTTGAAAAGTCAAAAGGATCTCGATGACGCCTTAAAATTATTAAAGTGGGGAGGCAGCACCAATCCCTGCCTCCACATCCAGGTTGTGCCCTGCTCGGAGTACTCTACGTATGAGGGCACTCCGCCCCCAGCCATTATAAATATTTTCTCGCAGGTTGAAATTGGTTGTTGGTGGCGTTCGGTCAGTTATGATTGGTTGTTGAGGGGTTGCGTGTGTTGTGATGGTTGTTTGCCTGTGGCTTTAAGGGATTGGTTGGTAATTTTTTGTTTGTTGGTTGATTGGTTGAGAGATTTTGCCATTATCAATATATTCTCACAGGTTGTGATTGGTTGTTGATTGGTTGGGTGTGTTTTGATTGGTTGGTTACCTGTGGCTGTATGGGATTAATTGGTTGTTTTTTGGCTGGCTGGCTTGTTGATTGGTTGATGGATTTTGTTTGATTGCATCGATTCGTTGGTTGCCAGGCTAAGATTATGATTTGTAGAAATGATTGGATTATATTTTTTTCATCTTCAAATTCCTTATTTCTGTGTAATTAGTTAATCATTTAAAGTGGCAAACTGTGCATTTTTTATTCGTTCTTTCATGCATTCATTCAATCATTCATTTGTTCGTTCATTTATCCATCCATCCATCCATTCATTCATATATTCCTTCATTAAATTTTTTAAGAACAAAGTTATTCAATTGTTTAGAATTGTTAACTATTCATTTTCAGCCGACAGAACAAAATCCCAAAGTAACAATCAATAGTTTTGCTTCCAGTTCTAATATCTCCAGTAATTTTGTTCATTCATTCATTCGTTCATTCATTCAGTCATTCATTCGTTCATTCATCCATTCGTTCGTTCATTCATTCATCCATTCATTCATCCATTTATTCATCCATTTATTCAATCATTCATCAAAATAATATGATTTATCCTTCTAAGGTTCGCCAAAGATGACCATAGATAGCCGAGCTTTTCAGCTAAGGTTAAGTAAAATGGATTCTTTCTCTCTCTCTCTCTCTCTCTCTTTCTCTCTCTCTCTCTCTCTTTTTCTCTCTCTCTCTTTGTGCCTCCGTTTTCTATGTTTTTTCTCTCTTTGCTATGATATGCATTAATTAAATAAAGAATTTACTAAATAAATAACTGAATAAATGAATGAATGAATTAATTAATTAATAAATAACTGAATAAATAAATGGATGAATTAATAAATAAATGCATTAATATATGAAATGATGCTGATGAAAAGCAAGCAGATGCCAGGGCTGGACAGTCGCTCTCCACCGAGCTCCTGCCAATCACTGTCGTTGAGGAAAACCATCGCGTACGATCTTCAAACATCCGAGAAGTCATTCAGCTACCCCAATTCCAAAAATAAAAGTTATTTTCTCAAAGTTTTGATTGGTGGTGGTGTTTGATATTGATGGTGATGGTGTTAACGGTATTGGTGACGATGATAATGGTATTGGTGACGATAATGGTATTGGTTTTGGGATGACGTCATGATATTATGACGTGATAATGTTGGTGGTGATTGTGATGATGATTCGACAGACATGATGATGATGATGGTGTTATATGCTGATTCTGGTTAAACCATAAAAAGCCTGCAATGAGAATATAGCAATGGGGAATTATTTCACCACAACCTCCTTCACCGCTATTGCAATGGCTGACAGAGTTGATGAAAAGTTGGAAGCGTGGCCGTCTGCTGGGGTCAGGGTCATTTGGACAGGTCTTCCTGTGCTGTGATATGGAGACTGGTAAGGAGTATGCCATGAAGCAGGTTCATATCTTCAGCAAGAACTCACAGCATTGCTCGAGGGTTTGTTTATTTGTTTGTGTTTGTTTTTATGTGTGTGTGTGTGTGTGTCTGTTTGTTTGTTTATCTGTCTGTCTGTTTGTTTGTTGGTTCTTATTAGTACTATGTAAAATTTATCAGTCATTCAATCAATCAACTGACAATTCAATCAGCCAACTAGTCAGCTTACCAACCTACCAGATATCAATCAATCAACTAACTAACTACTAGTCCGCCAATCAATTAATCGATCAATCAATCATTCAATCAATCATCAATCAATCAATCAATCAATCAATCAATCAATCAATCAATCAATCAATCAATCAATCAATCAATCAATCAATCAATCAATCACCTAACTACAAATCCACCAACCAACCAATCAACGAACTAATAATCCACCAGTTAATCAATCCATCATTTAACCAACCATTATACCAATCAATTAATCATCCAATCAATCCACCAATCAATCATTCAACCAATCCACCAATCAATCAATCAATCAGCCAGTCAATCAATCAACCAGCCAACCAGAAATTTGTTCAATCAATCAATAAATCAATCAATCAATCATTCAATCAATCAATCAATCCACCAACTCCTTTAACAAACAGGAAGTGAGCGCCCTGAGGGAGGAGATAAACATTCTGAAGGAAGGAGTGAAGCACCCCCACATCGTTCAGTACTTCGGCTGTCAGGACGACGGTGTCGTCTTCTCAATTCTCATGGAATACATGCCCGGGGTAGTTATGTTTCTTTGTTTTTTTTTCTTCATAGTTTTATACATTCCTTAATATCAATTCTTTGTTTTTTTCGTAGGTTTATACATTTTTTTTAATCAATTCTTTGTTTTTTTTTCGTAGGTTTATACATTCTTTGTTTTTTTTCATAGATTTACACATTCTTTGTTATCAATTCTTTGTTTTTTTTTATAGATTTATACATTCTTTGTTATCAAATTTTTGTTTTTTTTCCATAGATTTATACATTCTTTGTTATCAATCCTTTGTTATTTAGTTTGCTCGTTGTTGTATCGTTTTCAAATGAATTCGCAAGCGTACTGATAAAGATGCAAAATGTAGTTGTATGTGGACGTACAAACATGCGAATACACACACACACGCGCACACTCACACGCGCACACTCACACATACATACACACACGCATACAAAGGGTTCAGTTAAAGATCAGATCAAGCAGTACGGCCCGCTGACAGAGCGGAATACGATCAGCTACACAAAGCAAGTCCTCTTAGGTCTGGAGTACTTACATAAAAAGTCTATAGTACATCGAGACGTGAAAGGTGGATGGGCTTGTTGATTTGATTGGCTGGTTGGTTTGATTGGCTGGTTGGTTTGATTGGCTGGTTGGTTTGATTGGCTGGTTGATTTGATTGGTTGGTTGGTTTGATTGGCTGGTTGGTTTGATTGGCTGGTTGGTTTGATTGGCTGGTTGATTTGATTGGCTGGTTGGTTCGATTAGCTGGTTGATTTGATTGGTTGGTTGGTTTGATTGGCTGGTTGGTTTGATTGGCTGGTTGGTTTGATTGGCTGGTTGATTTGATTGGCTGGTTGATTTGATTGGCTGGTTGATTTGATTGGCTGATTGGTTTGATTGGCTAATTTGATTGGCTGGTTGGCTGGCTGGTCGATTTGATTGGCTAGCTAGTGAATTGATTGATTGGTTGGTCGGTTGATTGATTTGATTCGTTGGACGGCTGGTTGATATGATTTGCTGGTTGGCTGGCTGATTTGATTGATTGGCTGGTTGATTTGATTGATTGGTTGGCTGGTGAATTGATTGATTGTTGGTTGGTCGGTTGGTTGGATAGTTGATTTGATTGACTGGCTGGTTGCTAGATTCGATTGGTTGGCTGGGTGGTTGATTGATTGATTGGTTAGTCATTTTATTGATTTAATTGATTGGTTGGATGTTGAGTGGATTGATGATTGAATGGGTGAGTTATTTAAATGATTGTCTATCTAGCTTAACTCCCTTACATTTTTTCATCAATCAATAGTTCCGTCTCAATTTAGCCAACCATCACTTAGTCGTTCATTAATTCTTTAATTAATTAATTAGTTAATTAATTCTTTCATTAATTAATTAACTAATTAATTAATTAATTAATTTGTTCATTCATTCATTCATGCACTCATTCAACTCAGGAGCCAACATTCTTCGAGATAATGAAGGCAACGTGAAGTTGAGTGATTTCGGTGCATCTAAGAGACTCCAGACGATCTCCAACTCCATCATGCAGACTCAAACTGGTTGGTTGGATGGATGAATGGATTGATTGATAGATCGGCTGATTGATGGATGGGTTGATTGAGTGATTGATTGATTCAATGAATGAAAGAATGAATGAACGAACGAAACGAACGAACAAACGAACGAATGGACAATTTTACAAACAAGGTACCATCTACTACATGTCGCCGGAACTGTTAGATGGCAACGGTTATGGCAGAAAAACTGACATCTGGTTAGTCCACTGATTGATTGGTTGGTTTGTTGGTTAATTGATTAATGGTTAATGGTTAATCCGACTGACTTATTTACTCAGTCATCTTCACCACCATATCACCATCATCTTTTAAAGTGCGTAATAATCTCCACCATGTTGTCCCGTGTGCGTGTTCATTCATGTTACTTTCATTACCTTCATCATCTTCATCGTCGTCGTTGTCATCTTCTACATCATCTCACTTCTGACGTTCACACATTATCGTCATCGCTATCGTTATCTTCATCATCATCGTTATCATCATCATCATCATCACCTTCCGTTTTCGTCGATCACGTGACAGGAGTCTGGGGTGCTCGGTGGTCGAGATGTTGACCGGGCACCCCCCCTGGCACCAACTCGAAAACTTCGCCGCCATCTTTAAAATCGTCACTTCCGACGAGCCGGGCTACAGTCTTCCTGATTCGGTTGGTTGGCTGGTTGGATGACTGGTTGGTTGGTTGGTTGGCTGATTGGATGATTGGTTGGATGACTGGTTGATTTTTTGGTAGGCTGGTAACTAAATTTAATAGATGGCTTATTGTCGATGGATCGACTTTGAAATGGATTAAACAATTGCACAAACCAAACAGCAATTTCACACGCATTCACACACACACACACACGCATTCACACTAACACGTACACACACGTACGCACACACACAGGTAAGCAAACAGGCGCGAGACTTCGTGAGTGAATGTTTCACGAGATCATTGGAACGTAGACCGACCTCATCACAGCTCCTCTACCATTCGTTTGTCACGAGGGCACAGTTTGAATTTGATGGCACGTAGTTTCTCTGAAGGGTTTTGATACTTTTGGTGGGGCAGCTGATTATGATGTTGAAGAAGATGAAGGAGTTGATGGTGGTGGTGATGAAGAAGTAGAAGATGGCGATGAAGAAGAAGATGATGATGAAGAAGAAGATGACGATGAAGAAGAAGAAGATGATGGTGATGAAGAAGACGACGACTATGAAGAAGAAGATGATGATGATGGTGAAAGGAGAGATGTTGGTAATGCTGACCAGACCGTTATCTTTCAATTTATTTATTACCTTCATTTGAAATGCACACTTACTACAGCATACACATTCGCGCACACACACACGCGCACACACGCACGCGCACACACACGCACGCACGCGCACAAACATACAAATGATGTATATATGCCTTGTAACTTATTTCCACTAACAAACGTTTAAACTTTACTTATATACATATGAATATGTATTACTAATAAATAAATAGTAATCAAAACGATGTTCTCATCGTTACTGTAACGATTGTAAAGTATTTACACACATATGAATACAGACACATACACACACGCACACACACTCACACAAACAGACAGCATACACCCGCATAAAGTTTTTTGATTATAAGCTGATTATTTTACTACATTTTTTTTCCACGTTGTGATACAATATCATTGCAGCGCTTTTTTTCAAAATTTTGGGGAAATTTAACGTTTTTATTTTTAAAAGTTACTTTTTTTGGTAAAGTTTATCACAACTATTAATTAAATTTTATTAAATAATATTATTATAATGGGTTGATATTTATGATCGGTGTGGCTGCTTCTGTAGCTTAATCAATCGGTCAATCAATCGATCAATCAATCAACCAATCGATCAATCAATAAGTCTACCAGCCAATGACTCGATCAAGCAATTCCCTAAAACCAAAACAGTTTAAACTATGTTATCAGCTCTAACTTTTCTAAATTTTTCTAAATACATTTTTCAGAAGAAATCATTGATAAGAGAGCGAGAGAGTGAAAGAAAGAGAGAAAGAGAGAGAGAGAGATTTTCTTGATTGCAATTCTTCATTTTTATATCGTATCGTATGTTGTGCCTTTAATAAGATGTTCGCGGAATGATTTTTAAATTATTCTAGAAAATAGCTTACCTACTTGCCAAACTTAAATATATAAGTATAAATAAACAAGTATATATATAATTATATATTTATATATAATTTATATAATTATAAGTATAATATATAATTTTCACTGTATATGTTTGTACACATACATATTTATAATGTAAATATAGTGGACGCTATTGATTATGGATACAATTGACTGATTTTGTAGCTTTTATTATTATTATTATTATATTATTATTATTTTTATTAATAATATTATTATTATATGTGATCGTACGTATGATTGGAATCATTCAAATTGACCCATCATTAAACTCCAGTTTACGATCCAATCACTGATCAGTGTACCACAGTACCATATTAAGTAGTAACTTATTTGTAATCTAGTAACATCACTATTATACAAACATATTGTGCATAGTATAGTACACACACGCACGCACGCACACACACACACACAAAGACACACACATACTCACATACACACGCACACACACATGTACATGTGTTTATGCGTTTTTCTAAAGGTAAGTACTTTTTGAGTAATTCAGGGTTGTAGATTACTTCTTTAGTAGTTTTTAGAATGCTGTTTTTATAATATTCTGATTATATATATATATGTGTGTGTATGTGCGTGTATGTGTGTGTGCGCTAATGTATATATCTGTGTATTTATGTGTATTTGTTTGTGTAACGTCCTACCTCGGGAGAACTGGGTCTCTGGACGATGATTGATTGATTGATTTATGTGTTTTTGGATTTTCTTGATTGCAATTCCATTGATGTATATGTATATGATTACATGTTTGTGTGTTTGTGTTTGTTTGTTTGTGTGTGTGTGGTGTGTCTGTTTGTGTGCTTGTATGTGTGGGCGTGTGCATGTGTGAATGTTTTTTTTTTGCATTACGAGTTTATATTTTTAAAGCAAAAATATTTTTACTGCATCAAAATATTTTTTTATTTTGTGTATCCACTTGATTATTCGAAAGACCTGTGTGTGTTTGTGTGTGTGTGCGTTTTCTGTGTGTGTGTCTGTGTGTTTTTGAATATGTATATTTTTCTATATTCACTACTTGAACATACGCAGTTGAATTCTTTGTTCTTTTATTAAAACAAAAAAAAATCAATATTATTGCTGTCAGGCGTTTTTTTGTCTTAATTTGACTAAACAGAAAAAGTCGTTCGTGTGTGTATGTCTGTATGTGTGTGTGTTCATTTTAACTATCATATCGTCTATAAGATAGTGATTCTAAGAGACTTCTAAACTAAAGATGACAATATTAATTCTTATACTCTAATTAAACTGTATCAACACACACAAACAGACACACAAACAGACACACACACGCACACACACACACAACAAAACAATAACTCACACACAATACAAACAAACATCGGAATTGATGTCTTCATGAGAAGTCGCATGGAGGAAAGTAACTGCCCACTCATTGTATGAAGTTTTTCTTTTTTTTTTAAATTTTCTAGGCTACACCGGCGCCATTAATATATTTTTTTATGTTTTCAATCTCCACACTTTAAAAAGACGAGTTTGGTTGCCGCAAAAAAGTTAACATTAAAATAAAAATGTATTATAAATAATAATGTCTTAAACAAGCGTTTTACATTTTAAAATTTTCATTGATGTGATTAAAAAAATTTCTTGCAATCACCCTGAAAGTATCATCTACATTCAACTCACAGAGATGTTTTCCTAATCGTCGTCGTCATCATCTTCGTCATCATCATAGTTTTCATCGTCTTCGTTGTCATCATCTTCGTCATCATGGTCTTTGTCATCGTTGTCATCTTTTTCATCACCATCTTCGTCGTCATCTTCATCATCGTCTTCGTCGTCATCTTCATCACCATCTTCGTCGTCATCTTCATCACCATCTTCGTCGTCATCTTCATCACCATCTTCGTCGTCATCTTCATCACCATCTTCGTCGTCATCTTCATCACCATCTTCGTCGTCATCTTCATCACCATCTTCGTCGTCATCTTCATCACCATCTTCGTCGTCATCTTCATCACCATCTTCGTCGTATCTTCGTCGTCATCTTCATCACCATCTTCGTCGTCATCTTCATCACCATCTTCGTCGTCATCTTCATCACCATCTTCGTCGTCATCTTCATCACCATCTTCGTCGTCATCTTCATCACCATCTTCGTCGTCATCTTCATCACCATCTTCGTCGTCATCTTCATCACCATCTTCGTCGTCATCTTCATCACCATCTTCGTCGTCATCTTCATCACCATCTTCGTCGTCATCTTCATCACCATCTTCGTCGTCATCTTCATCACCATCTTCGTCGTCATCTTCATCATCGTCTTCGACGACATCGTTCTTAATTTTTACATAATTTGTGTGTGAACTGGAAACTTGAAACACTCGAGCCAAACGTGTTGACGCGACGAATTTTTGTGTTCCATGTTTATTAACGTCTTGTCATGTTATGTTCTTGCATGCGTGTTTATATGTGTTTTTATTAATGTGTTATTTATATGTGTGTGTGTTTGTATATGCAATTGTTTGCAATTTGCAGCCATGAATGTATGTGTGTGTGTGTGCGTGCGTATGTGCGAGAAAAGAGAGAGAAAAGGAAAGGGAGAGAGAGAGAGAAAGAGAGAACCATCGTCATCATAATTGTCACAAATGTTCTTTTGTCATGTCTTCCATCTTTAACATCAGTAGAAAGTGGCATTATTGTCAGGATTCATAAGCATCGTCGTCATTAACTTTAGAAAAATCCTTCCCTTATGTCATCTTCATAATCATTCCATTCCTTAACATCGTGACATTAATTTGTAGGTGCTCAATCATTCGTTCGTTCGTTCATTCATTCGTTCATTTATTCATTCATTTGTTTATTCATTCATTCATTCGTTCATCTTTTTTTATGCATGACTTGCAGAGTTGATTAAACTTGGTATGGCTAATGCATACATAAACATTGTTTAAACAGTCTGTGTACGAATGAATACACGTAAACACACACACACACACACACACACACACACACACACACACATATATATATATATATATATATATATATATATTCATATGTATTAACACATACACACACAGATATAGATAAATATATAGTGTGTGCAAGTGTGCGTGTGTATTATATATAATCTCTCTCCTCTCTCTCACTCTCTCTTCCTCTCTCCCTTTCTTGTTTCCGTTTATGATCTGTACTCATTCATTATTTTATTTGAGTATTTCAGTCATCATCTCGTTCGTTTGATCGTTCGTCCATTTGTTCGTTCGTTCGTTCCTTTGTTCGTCCATCTGTTCGTTCATCCGTTTGTTCGTTGATATGTCGTCGTTCCCTCGTTCTTCATTTTGTTTCCTGATTATATTTCCGTTCATTTATTTTTTTATTTATGTTTTAATTCATTGATGAAATAACTTTTCCTAATTGGTTCTCTAACGGAGAAGTTTCGTTTAAGTTGCTGATTGGTTTATTTCAATTCGTTCGTTCGTTCATAACGTTTAAAAAATTATATTAATAAAATAATAATGATGATGCTGAAAGTATTAATATAAATAATAAAAACAATAAAATAATTAATACTAATTAGCATTTAATGTAATATTGCTGGCAGTTTGACTCGAATAATTTTTTTTAATAAGTTAAAGTTAAAAGGATTAGTTTACAAGGAGTATGAAACAATGCCAATCCACCGGATCAATGTGATTTTTCACGGGTTTCAGAGTAGTGTGAGTGATTGATTGACAGTTTTTTTATTTATTTATTTCCAATTTCTTCATTCATTTCATTATTTACTTGTCATTCATTCGTTCGTTCGTTCGTTCGTTTGTTCATTCATTCGTTCGTTTGTTCGTTTGTTTGTTCATTCACTCGTTCATGTATGCGTTCATCAATTGCTATTTTTTCATTTTACTCGTTTATTTATTAAATCTTTCGTTCATTCATTCATTCGTTCGATCATTTTATCATCTTTACGATAGACAGACTGAGAAAGTGTAGAAATGAAGGAATGATACGTAGAAGGAATGATCGAAAGAAGGGATGATAGATAGAAAGATAGATAGATAAAAGACTAAGTAAGTATAGAAATTGTATTTACTTTTGTATCGAATTTCATTGCATTGTTCCTCTCTGCAACTCTCTCCTCTCTTTCTCTCTCTCTCTCTCCATCAAACTTTCATCATTCAAACGTAACTCTATACGCAATTACAAAACACACGGACACGTACACACACACGCACACGTACACACACACGCACACACACAGACACGCACGCACACAAACATGCATATACATGCATACATGAGAACATTGGAACAGTGGTAACACACTAATGGCGATGTCGGTGAATGATTTGATTTTAGGAGAGAGAGAAAGAGAGAGGGAGAGAGAGAAAATGAGAGAGGAGGAAGAGGAAGTTAAGAAAACAATAAGACAAACCATAAAAAAAACTTCAAAAAATGTTCTCAAGCCGTCTCTCTTAAATGAATATAACATAAAAACTGAGTTAAGTAATTTATTAGACTGCTGGCTACGCATTAACGTTTGTTGGTTGGTTTTTTGGTTTGTTGGTTGGACTGTTTGTTGTTTGGTTGATTGGTTGATTATTTGATTGGTTAGATGGCAAGTGTTTTAATTAGATGATTGATTAGTAGGTAGTTTGGTTGATTGATTGATTGGTTCGTTGACTGTTTTGAAATTAGTTAATTGTCTGGCTGTTAAGGTTATTGATTTGTTAGTTGATAGGTTAAATGGTGGATTGATTGATTGATTGAATAAGTAAATTAATTAAATATTAAAGCAAAAATTTAATAAAAAAATTTTTTTTTTCATACAAAGGAATTATGAAGATAACGAGTCACAATAGAACCATAAAAATTGTCTTCTCTTGTCCGTTTTTGCCTTGTAAATGTTTTCACGTGTGTGCTTGTGTGTGCGTGTGTATGCGTGTGTGTTTTGGTTTTTATGAAGCTTACTGATACTTTTTTTTGTTAAGTTTTTTTGATTGTTTTTTGTCGATAGCCCTATATACATGCATGCCTATTTATACATACATCGACCAATATCTCTACTTTCTCCACTTTCCAAAGTACTAGAAAAAATAATTTTTGTCAGAGTCACCTCATTTCTGTCCATAAATAAATTATTAAATGATAATCAATATGGCTACAGAGCACAGCATTCAACTGAGCAAGCTGTGCTGCAATTAGCACAAAATGTTATGAATAATCTTAACGAAAAGATACTGACTGTAGGTGTATTCATAGACCTCTCAAAGGCCTTTGACGTCATCAACCACGATATACTGATTAAAAAATTAAATTCACATGGAATAAGAGGAAAAGTAAGTGCATGGTTCAAAAGTTATTTAGAGAACAGAGACCAGTATGTGGCAATAAAAAGTCACTCCTCAACAAAACTTAACGTAAGATCAGGCGTGCCACAAGGATCAATTTTAGGTCCTCTTCTATTCATAATCTTCATGAACGATTTTCAACATGCAACTGATGCAAATCACCTTCTATATGCAGATGACACTAACATCTTCTTCCCAACTGAAAGAAGACCCATTGAAAGAAGTAGAATACATCAATAACAGTCTTCAAAATATATCAACCTGGTTTATCAAAAATAAATTAATAGTAAATTATTCTAAATGTAATTACATTATTTTTGGTCCGAAAATTTTAACAAATATTATACCTAACCTAGACATAAAAATGAACAATATTTCTATTCCTCGCTCAACCAGCACAAAATTCCTTGGAGTAACAATCAAGGACAATCTTTCTTGGGATATTCACATAGATACTATGTCTAAAAGAATATGCAAAACCCTAGGAGTTATAAGCAAAATTAAAAATAAATTAAATAAACCTACTCTAATTGACCTGTATTATTCGTTAATCTTTCCTCACCTCATCTACTGCAACGTAATTTGGGGAAACAGTCCTGACATTCATCTAAAACAGTTAACAAAATGCCAAAACCGATTCATCAGAATATTTAAAAATCTTCATCCTCATTGTCACT